CAGACATTTTGTAGAACAACACTGCAAGAACAACATAAGAACTTGCGAGGCCAAAGGAGATCGAGGTCCATCCAATTCGCCTTCCATCGTCCTCGCAGTCGCTCGACATGTCGCGCCCAAAGCTCTATACTGTCTCCCCCAGATATTACTTCCTAACAGAAATCTATCTCATTTGTTCTTGAAAGAATCAACGCCTTTGCTTCCCCCCCACCACCACCCACACTTCGATCGTAGGCCGATCTCCTTTGGTTTTACTGTTCAGAACAAGATAAAACTGGTCAATAATATCAACAACTTGCATTGGATATAGCGTCTCGGAGCGCTATACGGTTGGCCACTGAGCGAGGGAGAAGGGGGAGGTTGCCATGTGTACGGGCTTTATACTCCCCCCTTCCCCCCCTCTATCCCCCCCCACCACCACCCCTTCCCCAAATCAGGTAAGCAGGTCAGAGCTATTTAACCCCACAACCTTCTTCCAACCTCTCCCTCCTCCCCCCGGCCAAAGAGGACTTGTCCAGCGATTGATTCAAGTGCTCCGAGACTCTGCACCTCATGAAGGGAGCTACATAAATGCAAGTTGTTGTTGATTTACGTGTTATGAATTGCAGCTACAGTGCGATAGGATAATAATAATAATAATAATAATAATCCTTGTGTTCGATACAGCGCCTTATCACATTTTCGAAGCCTCTCACAGAGCTTCACAGAATATACTGTAAAGGGAATTGACTGTATATCTTGTGGATGAATCGTGGGTAAAGAGTCCCTGAGAGGTGACTTTGATCTGGGAAACATTTCTTTTGGAAATGGATCTAATCTCTGCGTTAGAGATTAAAAGATCAGAGCCATGACTAATATCGCAGCATGATTCACCCCTGTTCACTATCTCTGTCTGGCCCAGTCATTTACTGTCACAAGGATAGCAAACGGAGCCAGTTACCAACTCGAAGTGAACAACAACATCAAGCTGTTCGCCTGTTATTGAGAGGGAAGTTTCAATAGCAAGAAATCGTAAAAATAAGAATAATAATACTTGCGTTATTGTTATCGTAGGATCATAGAATTATACAGAAGCGCAGAAGGAGGCTATTCGGTCCCATCGTGTCTGTGCTGGCTCTTTGGAAAGAGTTACCCAATTCAATCCCACTCCCCCCCACTCTCCCCCCACCCCGTAGCCCTGCACTCTTGTCCTCCCCAAATAATTATCTACTCTCAAGTTATCACCTGGCTCGGATGGTTCAAGCCTCAACGTTAACTCTCATAGCACAGACTGACATTCCAGTGCGGCAATGGGTGGCTGGTTGTGTTGTCAGAGGTGTTGTCCTTCAGATGAGCCGTTGAACCTAAACGGTTGACACTGCCCCCTTGATAAACTCTCACCCCATCAGTAGCTGACGCTGCCCCTTTTAGCAACTATTCCTGCCTCGTCTGCCTGTCCAGGAAGACCTTAAAGGTCTTGCTATTTGAAAAGAGAAGGGACTTTCTCTCAGTTCGTCCCCTTTATCGCCCGCAAAATGCACAGACAGTTCTCTTTACAGTAATGTTCTGTGAAGCACTTTGAGACGTCTCGAAGACGCGATAAGGCGTAGGATTATTTGGCTTTGGCCCCACTGTTGGGTTACTCTGTTAGTTACCCTTCTGGAACTGCGAACGGCCTCACTCAATGTATTAGAAAGAGGATTGATTATATTTTGTGGGTGAAACCGGCTGCCAATTGCGCACGGCAGTGTCCCACAAACAACCGTGGATTGAGTGGCCACATTTTCTTTTTGAGGGACTATTATCCTCGGAAGTGATCCGACGATTGAATAACAACTCAGTTCCTATTTACCGCTGGCTAAACAGGCGCGTGTGTGAAGTAAGAAAACATGCCCAACATTTTGTCACGCTGGGAGTCGAACTTAGGTCCTCTCACTTGCGAGGCGAATGCATTACAGCAACAACAAGATTACATTTGTATAGCACCTTTCACGTCGGGAGGACGTCCCAAGGCGCTGGACAGTGTACGGCATTTCAGACCCGAGCTGGGGTCAGGGAGGGAGGGGAGGGGAAGGGGGGTGACCGATGGTCGAAGAGGAGGGTTTTGAGGCGGGACTTAAAGGAGGCTCAGGAGGGGGCGAGGGGGAGTGACTGGAGGATGGAATTCCAGAGGTTTGGGGCAGAGTGGCTGAAGGCTCTCCCGCCAATGGTGGGGCGGGTGGGTCGGGGGACGTGGAGCAGGCCAGAGCCAGCTGAGCGGAGGGAACGGGCGGATTGGTGGGGGCTTAGGAGGTCACAGAGGTAGGGTGGGGAGAGGCCATGGAGGGCTTTGTAGGTGAGGACCAGGATCTTGAACTGGATCCTCTGAAGGATAGAGAGCCAATGGAGTCGGGCGAGAGTGGGGGAGATGGGATCACGGACTTTGGTGCAGGAGAGGACACGGGCTGCAGAGTTCTGGATTATCTGTGGAGGGAGGAGTTGGGAAGGCCGACAAGTAGGGCGTTTGCATAGTTGAGCCTGGAGGTGTTGAAGGCATGAACACGAGTTTCAGCGGCCCAAGGGGTGAGGTAGTGGCAGAGTCAGGTGATGTTACGGAGGTGAGGGAAGGCAGAGCGAGTCATGGCTTGAATGTGGGGAAGAAAAGACGGTTGCGGGTCGAACAAGACACCCAGGTTCCTGACTGCCTGGTGAGTTGGTGAGTTGAAGTGTGCAACCATGGAGGTTGTTGCTGCCAGAGCCTGAGGTGCGGAGGCGCTGGCGAGAGCCCATCAGGAGGGCCTCAGTCTTGTTCACATTCAACTGTAGGAAATTTGCCCTCATCCAGGACTTGATGTCCGACAGACAGTCTGTCAGGACAGCAGTGGTTTGGAGTTGAAGGTGGAGGCAGAGAGATAGAGTTGGGTATCATCTGCATACATATGGCAGTTGACCCACGTCTGCGGATGATGTCACCGAGGGACATCTAACCACTGAGCTACAGTCATCCTCCTTTTGTTGTTGTTGTTTTGTTGTTGGCTATGTTCTGAACTTGGAGCGTTTAAACCCCGCTCTAAGCACTCAGGACGCTACCGTGTATGAAGGGCGCTATATTCATCCAAGTTGCTGATTGTATTTTGTGGGCAAATGCAGGGTTGATACTCCAGTTCAGTACTGGGGGTGGGGGTGGGGGTGGTACTAGGTCCCATCTAACTAGTCAGGTGGACATTAAAGCTACTTTGGGGCTACTCAAAAAGAGAGGAGGGAATTTCTCCTTGTGCCCTGGTCACACAAGTCCCCCAGATAAAATTGGCCGTTCATTTCAAGGCTGTTTGTGGGAATATTATCACGACACTTGACAGCAAATCCTGCTTTGAGATGTGTCGCGGTAAGACCCTGTATCATATGCAAAGGTTATTATTAGTAAGATTGGTAATGGGCGGCTGTTTGTGGGACCTTGCTGTGTGTGGATTGCCTCTACCTTTGCCTGCAATATCACTGCACTAGTCACCGTACGAGACAGTAATGTTCCTCAAGGTGCTTAAGTGGTCCAAATTTCACAGTTAAATGTCCAGCCAGGACCACTCACTCTAGCCTTCGGGCTTTGGCTTGCAGGGTTATTGAAGTATTTAATGAAGGGGAAGTAAGGTGGATTAAAGGGACAGCAATGACTGTTGAAAGTAATCAATGTTGGACGGAGACCACAGAGGGAGCCAGTTGCAGGAAATGGAAACATTACACTGTTGCTTTTGCCAGGAAATCCCATTGTAAACTTAATAATAATAATAATAATAATAATAACTCTTGCATTTGATACAGCGCCTTATCACGTCTTGGAGACGTCTCAAAGCGCTTCACAGAAAATACTGTAATGTGAATTGACTGTATGTTTTGTGGGCGAAAAGCGGAAGCCAATTGGGCACAGCAGCGTCCCCACAAACAGCCGTGGGTTGAGTGATCACATGTTTTTTCCCTGAGGGATTATTACCCTTGGAAAGCGATCCGCCAATCGACCGACAACCGGTTTCCAACTCACTGCTGGTTAACCAGAGGCGTGTGGATTAAGGAAACTTGCCTAAGGTTTCGCCCTGACCAGGAACCGAATCCGGGTCCTCTCGCTTGTGGGGTGAGGGTTATGACCACTGAGCTACAGGTCTTGAGAGGTGGAAAATTCATTCCGTTGTTTGAGGAAGTGGTCGGATATCTTTGCTGTGTGTAACTGTGCCGATGGAGAGCTCGGTATTACCGGGCTCATATCCACTGCACTGCAAAACATATCTCCAGGTGTCCGAGCCAACATTCCCCTCCAGGTAAAACTCTGAGATCCTACGCCACGTTCGGGACACTATATGAATGCAAATTGTCTGTGTTGTTCTCGGACATTCACTTCATGGCTGTTTATTAGATGTTGTTCGTAAGTCGGCTGCCACGTTCTCCTACAAAATGCCGGTCACTGCACTTCATAGAAAATAATATAATGATAATCCACTGCTTTGGGACGTCTTCCCGAAATGAAAAGCGCTATCTAAATGTAGGTTTGTATTGCCATTCCAATAATCCTTGCCTTTGGTGTAGAGTCTTCCCGTGCTGTCCAGCGATTTCAAAGGACGAGCTGTAACGTAGTGACTGTGTGCATTTTGTCGTCAAACGTGGCAGCTAATTTGTACCAAGTAACGTCCCCAAAACCAGTCAGGAGTAAGAGACCAGTTTTATTTTGAGGGATTGCCGATCAGGACACTGGGAGACGTTCTACAGTCCTGAAAGGCACAACATCAAATGTAAAGATTATTATTATATTATTATTAATAGTCTTCTTTTTGATCAGTCGGGTGTCTGATGTATATGGAAACCCATCACAAGGTAGGACCTAAGAGTCTCCAATCCAAACTGAGAATTCCATACATCCCACCTACACATGGAAAATTCCCGTGAGATTCAGTGAGTTGGACCGAAAGCTGAAAGCCCAATAATCTGATCGTTTTTTTTTCTCTCTCTCTCTCTCGAAACTCTTGTTACATGAACAGAAAAACCATTTCCATCACTGGGAGTAAAAACTAGTCAAGAAGGTGCAGGATGAAAAGATGGTCCGTCTGCTGGTACCGCCAGGTCCCCACTGCTTGCGGCGTCTCACTCGCGAGTCGTTGGCTGCTATCGAGAAGCGGATTGCTGAGGAACAGGCGGACAGAGCCAATCAAGACCTCAAGGAGGAGAGCGAGGAGGAAACGCCCAGTCCTCACTGTGACCTGGAGGCGGGGAAACAGCTGCCACTCATCTACGGGGACGTCCCCTCGCATCTCATTGGCCAGCCTCTGGAGGACCTCGATACCTTCTACAGGAACAGGAAGGTCGGTCCCGGGAAACATAAAGAGCAAAGCGGTGCAGTCAGTGTGTCCTGAGTTCCCAGTGTGGAGCACAGTGTGCCGTAGGCCTGTGATGGCTGCTGGTGGTGACTGACATCATTGGCAGCCATTTTTACTCTCAAATTGGCCTTCTTCCTGCACACAGGAAGTGACATCATTGGCAGCCATGCTTACTCTCCTTGGGCTCCTCCTGCACACAGGAAGTGACATCATTGGCAGCCATTTTTACTCTCCTTGGGCTTGTCCTACACACAGGAAGTGACATCATTGGCAGCCATTTTTACACTCCTTGGGCTCTTCCTACGTGCAGGAAGTGACATCATCGGTAGCCATTTTTATTCTCCTTTGGCGTCTTCCGGCACACAGGAAGTGACGTCACCGGCAGCCATTTTATCGCACGTCTCCTGATATCCCGACCAGTTTGATATTTCCGCCCCTCGACTCTCTGGGGATAGGGGAGACCAAAGAGATTTGCAGAGAGACTTCCTCCCGACAGGGATAATAGTCCCGGAATATTCCAGCCGTCTTACAGTGGGGGGTTGTTCCCCGTGGGGAGAAGGCGGTGGGGTTGAAGATGGCAGTGCCGGTAAACTGGAAGCCCCACGGGGCCGGGGAAACATCCAGTCCTTGTGCCAGTACCGACCGGCGGGAAATCGGCTGCGAAGACACCATTTTTTAAATAGCAGAAATGTAACTGGTGGGGAGAGGCCCGGGTGGGGTCAGGGATGGGGGGCGGGAGGGGAACACAGGTGTTTAGGGACAATTATTGCTCTGTTTTACATAAACGCCCGAGAATAAGATGCATCTAATCGCAGGACACATCCGTCACAGATATTCGGGCTCCGGGTCTCTGGAGAGTCGCGGAGGGAAGCGGGAGAGGAGAGGCAGGAGGGATAAGCTACAGAAAAGGAGGCCATTCAGTCCATTGTTCCCCCACCCACCCCCTCAGACCCACCTCCGCCCCCTCCCCCCACCTCCCGCCCACCACCTCTCCCCCCGTTCCCCCCCCCCCCTCTCCCCCCACCTCCACTCCCATTTCTAAATGGCCCCTTTTTAGTTATTTGTCTTAATTTTCTCTCCACAAAAGCTAATATTTTTCTCTCTCAGGCACCACGCTAGGTTAGGCATAGCACGTCCTCACAACCTTTTGTGCGGGCGCGCGCGCGTGTGTATGTGCGTGTATGGGTGTATATGTTATGTATGTGAGTGTGGGTGTGTGTATATGTGCGGGTGTATATATCATGTATTTGTGCGCCTGCTTGTGTGTGCACGCATGTGTGCATGTGTATGTGTGTGTCTATGTATGCGGGGGGGGTGTGCGCACGTGTGTGTATGCGTGTATATATTATGTATGTGTGTGCACATGTGTGTGTGTGCAGGTGTGTGTGCATATGCGCGTATGCGGGTGTGCGTGTGCGCGCGCGGTCTCTGACACGCGGGGGATTCTGCAGAGGGAGCACACAGGAAGTGTGGCCTTTTTTTCTGACCAGCTCTGCAGGTTTGCTCAAAAACGAGCAGTTTTCTATGTTTTCGGGGTTCCGTGCGAGAGGTGAGTGAGGCGGAGAGAGAGAGAGAGAGAGAGAGAGAGATAGAGAGAGGGGGTGGGGGGCCTCGGAGAGCCAGCGGGTAGCGGCTGGGCAGGGCTGAGGTCTCGGGGAGCGGAACTAGTTGCGAACGATTCGTCCAGGTTTGGCTTGAGTTTTGCTGCTGCGTCCGTCTCTCCTAACGTCCGTTGTCTTATCTCTTACAGACATTCATAGTACTGAACAGAGGAAAGACCATTTTCCGATTCAGCGCTAACTCCGCACTGTACATGCTGACGCCTTTCCACCTTACTAGAAGGATAGCTATTAAAACGTTAGTACATTCATATCCTTTTGCTGTTGGGCCCTCGAGGGTGGGTGGGTGGGGGGGCGGTGGGGGGTCTTAAGAGACATCTGAGCGCACGAGAGCGAGCGGTGTGCCTGCGCGGCTCCCGAATTTCGGCTCCAAACGATATGATAATAATAATCCTTGCATTTGATACAACGCCTTATCACATCTTCGGGCTCCCACTCGCCTCCCCCCCACTGGCACGGTCGAAGAGGAGGGTTTTGAGGCGGGACTTGAAGGAGGCTAAGGAGGGGGCGAGGCGGAGTGATTGGGGGATGGAGTGCCAGAGTTTGGGGGCAGAGTGGCTAAAGGCTCTTCAGGAGTTAGGGTTGGGAGGTCGCAGAGGTATGGTGGGGTGAGGCCATGGAGGGCTTTGTAGGTGAGGACCAGCTGGATCCTCTGAAGGATAGAGAGCCAATGGAGTCGGGCGAGAGTGGGGGAGATGGGATCACGGAGTTCGGTGCAGGAGAGGACGTGGGCTGCAGAGTTCTGGATATGGGGAAGAAAAGACAGTTGAGGGTCGAACAAGACCCCCAGATTCCTGAATGGCTGGTGAGTTGGTGAGTTGCAGTGAGCAACCATGGAGGGTGATGCTGCCAGAGCCTGAGGTGCTGGAGCGATGGTGTGAGCCAATCAGGAGGGCCTCAGTCTTGTTCACATTCAACTGTAGGAAATTTGCCCTCATCCAGGACTTGATGTCCGACAGTTGAGGGTGGAGCTTTTGTAGGCAAAAGCCAATTTGCACGTAGCAGTGTCCCACCCCTGTGTGGTCCCCTCTGAGCCGCCTTCCCCGAAGCCTGAATGCTTGCTGTCCGCCCTCTATTCGCCTCCCCTCGCCCCAAAACCCCCCCCCTCCCCCCATACCCTTGCCTCCTTCAAGGCCCGTCTCAACAACCTTCCTCTTCGAACTAATTTATGTCAGGTCGGGGTAACGAGGGGGAATGGGGCGAGGGGCGGGTAATTGGAGTTGAGGTACGGATCAGCCGCGATCTAATAGAATGAGGGGCGGAGAGGGGATGGGCTCTTTAACGCCCTCTCAGCTTGTGGCGCTGACATCTTTAGCGATGAGCTCAGGGAGGAGAAACGTGCTGAGCTGCTGAGAGCAGGGAGTCAGGCTGTCCCAGTCCAGGTCACCGGGCGGACACAGCTGAGCAGAGCAGAGAAGAGCGAGTCGACCTGCGGCTTAAGCCCATTACCTCCCCCTCCGCCTCAAACACCCTCTCCCCCGCACCCCCGCTTGTGTCCTGCAAGGATAACCCCTTTTATTTTAAATGAATAAACAACACCCCACCCTCCCCCCCCACCCATCCTCGAGGTTCACGTGCACTGCTCTTTGTAAACACCTGAGCTCTTTTCTGTTCGGTCTTGTGACTCACTTCTGTGCCTCTATTGTTCTATATATAACTCACTAAAGGTCGATTGGGAAACCTATTTTTTTTTCCCCCGTCACTGGTTCGACAGCAACAGGGGAACGAGCGAATCTTAGGACGTTGTTTACCTTCCTCTTATCTTCCTCTCCACCTCCCGTGCGCCCCCCACCCCCACCACCCACCCCACCCGCCCCCGCCTCCCCCCCTCCCCCACATTGCCACCTCTCAAAGTGCTTCCCAGGTGAATGTTGCCCGGTGTAGTGACCGAATGCAGTGCAGTGTCTGCGGGTTTTTTTTGGGGGCGAACGAGGCAACGCCCCACAAGCATCCAGGAAGTGAATGATCAATTTTATCGGGGAGATTGTGGGCTAGGACGACAACAGATTATACTGATGTGGCGCCATTTTACGTGCCAAGGCCCTGGATGATCAGGGATTTACACCTGGGCTGGCGGCTTGGGATCAGGGAGGGATGGGAGGTCAGGGAGGATGGGGGGGAGTGGGGGGGGCGGGGGGGTTAGGAGGGTGACCGAAGGCGTTGGTCGAAGAGGAGGGTCTTGAGATGGGCCTTGAAGGAGGCGAGGGAGGGGGTTGCGAGGGAAAGTGATGTGGAACATACCAGGCGGGGGGGGGATAAACCCCTCTGTTTTCGAACGGTGTCATTGGAGCGTTAACGTCCACAGGAACAGGCAAGATGGGGTCCTTGATTTAATGATTGACGTCACCTTCGACAGTGAGGACCACCCACCCCCCACCCTCCCATCACCCAGCACCCCATTAGAGTGTGAACCTGAGACTGTGAGCTGGTTTCAGCTGATGCTCCAGTGCGGTAACGGGGAGGTGACAGGAGCAGAGAGAGAGAGAGAGAGAAAGAGAGAAGGGTTTCCAAAAAATGCTGCATTGATTTCAACAGTAGGTGTCAGCCTGGCTCAGTGGGTCGCACTTTCTGAGTCAGAAAGTTGTGGGTTGAAGGTTTATGTTTCAGAGCCACGCTGGGGTGGGGGGGGGGGTTTGGCGGGAGGGGGTGTGTGCTGCATTTCCGGAGGTGCCGTTCTCTTCGGATGAGACGTTAAACCGAAAAAAAATGAGGGAGTTTCTCCTTGGGTCCCGGCTGACAATCCCCCGGTATGAAATTCACTCCCGAGATGTTTGTAGGACGTTGCCTTGTCCAAAATTGGCTGCCGCGTTGGGTTGAGGACGTCCGCAGTCGCTGCACTGGACCGGACAGTATGTCCTGCGATGCGCTTTTGAGATGTTTCAACGAGGCGATAAAGTGCGGTGTCAATGGCTTATATTATCGCAAGGCATTCCGCATTCTTCTGCCAGCCCCGCCGTGTGACAAACACAACTCTGCGATTGTTAGGGAACGTCAAGGTTCGAGTGATGGGGGGGGAGTGAGGCGCGGGTGAGGGGGTGGGGGGGGTGGGGAATGAGCCATGCGGGGTGTAGGGTTTGGTGGTTGGGGTGGGGGTGGGTGGGGGGGTGGGGTTTGCAGGCATTTAGAGCTCTCCACACCACCTCTGACTTCCCGAAATCACATTCCACGTCGTCGCCTGTCACAAGTTTCCATGTTGTGTTAAGAGCTGCTAATCGGGCTGATAGCGTCCGCTGAGTGACCGGGGACTGATGTTCCCCCGGCGCTGAGGTCTGTGGCTTGTGGTGACGTTCCTCTTGGGGCAGAGTGCAAAGCGGCCAGAGCGGGTCACACAGGCCTATTCGTGGCCTATTCTTGTCAAGTCTCTGAACCTGTCTCTTTCTCTCTCTCTCTCGAGGGCCTCTTGTAGGGTGCGGAATGGGGGGAGGGAGAGGAGGAGGGAGGGAGGGAGATTTTGGACTGTTCTAGATTTACTCTATTTTCTTAGCCTTTCAGAGCGTTCAGAGACTGGAGACGGGAGATATTCCATGAAGCGCTTTGAGACGTCTCAAAGACGTGATAAGGCGCTGGAACAAATGCAAGGATTATTAATATTATTATTATTATTATTATTATTTTCCTGGCCAACAATTCCCCCCCCGGAACTGGATAAAGCTGATTGATCACCTCAAATTGTTTCACCCTCAAACTACACAGCCTCTATTTATTGCAGTAAATCCTGTGAAGCGCAGACCATGTAGATTTATTATTATTATTATTATGTTTATTTATTATTTGCCAAAATTCTGGACCTCGCAAAAGAAACGGGTCAATCCAGATCCAAAATTCTACCAATATGTTATGATGATACAATTATTATTATTACCGTGAGGTTGAGGTTGTGTGTCTGTTTGAGTGTGAGTGCGTGAGAGTGCGTGAGAGAGGGTGAGTGTGTGTGAGAGTGGGTGAGAGCGCGTGAGTGTTCGTGAGTGTGCGTGAGAGTGGGTGAGTGTGTGTGAGAGTGGGTGAGAGCGCGTGAGTGTGCGTGAGTGTTCGTGAGTGTGGGTGAGAGCGGGTGAGAGCGGGTGAGAGCGCATGAGTGGTCGTGAGTGTTCGTGAGTGTTCGTGAGTGTGCGTGAGAGCAGGTGAGAGCGCATGAGAGCGGGTGAGAGCGCATGAGTGGTCGTGAGTGTTCGTGAGTGTGCGTGAGAGTAGGTGAGAGCAGATGAGAGCGGGTGAGAGCGGGTGAGAGCGCATGAGTGGTCGTGAGTGTGCATGAGTGTGCGTGAGAGCGGGTGAGAGCAGGTGAGAGCGTGTGAGAGCGGGTGAGAGCGGGTGAGAGCTCATGAGTGGTCGTGAGTGTCCGTGAGAGTGGTTGAGAGCATGTGAGAGCGCGTGAGTGCGGGTGAGAGCAGGTGAGAGCGGGTGAGAGCGGGTGAGAACAGGTGAGAGCGCTAGAGTGCGGGTGAGAACAGGTGAGAGCGGGTGAGAGCGGGTGAGAACAGGTGAGAGCGCTAGAGTGCGGGTGAGAACAGGTGAGAGCGGGTGAGCGCGCAAACGTGCGTGAGTGTCTGTTGAAATTGCAACACGTCTGAACTCCAGCAACACTCGCTGTTGGTTGCACAGCCCTGGGTGCTGTTCTCCTTAACCCTCTCCCCCTCCTCAAGTTATTCAGTATATTCATTATGTGCACTATTTTGACCAACTGTGTATTCATGGCGATGTCAGATCCCCCTCCGTGGACAAAGAATGTTGAGTGAGTATCCAAGCGTCTTCGACGCTTTCCTTGAACAAGTCTTTTTTATTTAATTAAAAAAAAATCTCTGTTATTTATTCTGATGCTATTTCCCCTCTCACGTCCTTAAAATAATCTTGACCTTGTTGACCTGTGCCCTGTCTGTCCCGGTGAAATGCTTTACCAGGTGTATCTTGCCTTGTGAGTCTCGGTAAGAGCAAGTAAGTTAACACTTTTAACGGGTCCACTTCAACTCATGAACTCGCTTTACGCCACGCACCTGCTGTTACCGTGCATCGCACCGATACCATGGAATGCTGAATCTTCCTTCATTACTCAGATAAAACAGTGTGTCCTCTTCCTGACGTTTCATTAAAGGGATGGAAAACAATCACGCTTGATTTCCTCCCCCGCCAGCCAACACCCCCCCACCCCACTCCCCACCACCCACCTCCCCGCACACGCACAACACACAAAACGCCCACAAAAATACGCAGAAATCCCCTTTGCGCTATATCCTCGTCGCCGTAACAAGGCGCTGTATCAGATGCAGAGATTATCGCGATGATATTTTTGAAGCCCCAATTGCTTTGAAACCCCCGTCCTGCTCGCAGTGAGCTTTTGCTGTTGTTACTTCACATCTCGACGTGACACAGAATAATGATGTTTTAAGTTTTTAAAAAAAACGGCCTTCTTTCTCCTCCCCGCCCTCCCTTCACCACGTTGGGACCTTCGACTCAGTCACTCCGTTACCGTGCTGGGTGGAGTGCTATATTGTCGGGGGTGCAGACTTTCGGATGAGACTTTAAACCGAGGTCCTGTCTGCGGCTGTTCAGGTGGATGTTAAAATATCCCACGACACTATGAGAGCGGGTGAGAGCAGGGAGATTTTCTCTCTCTCTCTCTCTCTCTCTCTCTCTCTCTCCCGGCCTCTTGGCTGACAAACCCCAGGAATAAATTGGTCACTCCCTCCACGGCTGTTCGTGGGGACATTGCTGTGCGCAAAATTGGCTGCCGTGTTTGCCTACAAAATACACAATCAATAAAATTCTGTAAAACCCTTTGAGACGTCTCGACAGCGTGATACGATGATGCATCAAAGGCAAGAGTTATTATTACTGCTGTGAATTGGACATTCCCAGAGGTTCGCCCACACTATTCCTTTAATGAAGGGTCCAGTGTATTTTCCCATCGCCAAAGGAAACCGAAATGTGATTTTCTCTGAAAAATAAAGGGGTTCATTGTGATTTCGCATGAGATGAACCTCGAGAATCATTTCTATTCCCACCTCCCACCCAAACACCCATCCCCTTCAGACATCAATCTCGAACATACCTCTCAACCAAGGGCACACTTAGTAGATTGAAGCAAATAGCGTCAGTGTGGGAGAGGGGAGGTAATAGCCGAGGGGTATAGAGATGGAGGCGGGCAGGGAGTTTGGGGGTAGGAGGGTGACCGAAGGCGTGGTTGAAGAGGAGGGTCTTGAGATTGGCCTTGAAGGAGGCAAGGAATGGGGCGAGACGAAGGGACTTGAGGGATGGACTTCCAAAGGGTGGGGGGACAGAAATGCTGAAGGCCCGATCGCTGAGGGTGGGACAGACTGGACAGGGGGGACACAGAGCCCACTGAATGGAGGGAGCAGGTGGGTCTGTGTGGAGTTAGCAGATCTCAGAGGTAGGGAGGAGCAATGCTATGGAGGGCTGTGCTCCTTTCTACCTCTGGTAGGGACTAGTTGGGCTGAATGGCCCGCTTCCACGCTGTACGATTCTACGTGGCTGCAGGCTACTCAGATGAATAGTTCGAAAAGGCCAACCCACTTCTAGATGTTGAAGGGAACGCAGATATTATCAGGGAGAGAAATGTTAGCATCGCGATGACATTGGAGGCACTGATTAGACAACGGTAGCGTGATCTGAGCACAGCTCGTGCCAAAGCCAGGAGGTGCAAGTCATTTTTCTCACTGCAGTACGTGCATGACAGTTGCAATGTGACAATTAGCGCATGGAATCAGACGCGAAATGTCACACACTTCCCCTCGCACCTCCCCCCCACCCTTCTTCCACCCCAGCCCTGCCCAGAGCCACAAGTTAACACTTAGGAACATGGGAATTGCCAGACAGAAAAAGACCAAGGTCAAGCTAGTTTCCCTTCTGGTCTGGTCGTCGCATGCTACAGTAATGGAGATGTTGATAGCAATTAATTCTGTAATGGATTAGTCTACAAAGAGTGGGAACCTTTGTGAACCTTTAGATCCAAAGTTCTTCCAGTTATCCCTGACTTCAGTAGAACCAGCCATTGCAACAGTTTTGAGTTAAAGTGACCTTGCAACCCTTCGCTATCCTCTGGGAGGGTTTTTGGGGGTGGTGGGGGGGGAGAGGTTGGGGTTGTCTTGCAACTTAACTCGGGCACGTCAAAATCCTGACCTGAATATCGGGTGCGAGGGGTGGGGGGAGCGGGGGTGGGAGGGCGGGGGAAAGCGGGTAATGGGAACTGGACTTGTGTGCCGCGAGCAAACAGTTAAAGCCTTCTGTGACCCAGTTGAGAGATGTGATGGAGAGAGAGAAAAAAGAAATCAATCACCCCGCCACTAAACCAGGATAACACAGAATGCTCCATGATCTCACCTCCCTTTCATTGACTTGTCAAGAGGTAATGCTTTTGAAGACGAACGCAGAGACACTGTCCATTGATCGGTGGTCGGGCTGACCGCTCCATCGCGAACGTGTCGTTGGGGCTTGCAGTGATTGTAAGGCTGACGCTCGCACACGCTTCCCCATCTCACCCACAAAAGTCCTTCCCTATCACCAATCCCTTTCTTGCCCATTTAAGACCTGAGACACGGCATGAGAAGGAAAAGGTTTCACGTACTGTGCAGGAACCCATTGCCAGTTGTCCCTCTCCATCAGCTTGCTTTGATGGCTTTTATTTTCCGAATGCTTTTTCCACTCAGGTACACGTTCACTGGCATTTACACTTTTGAATCAATGATAAAAATATTGGCGAGAGGATTCTGCGTTGATCCATTCACCTTTCTTCGAGACCCGTGGAATTGGTTGGATTTCAGTGTTATTTTGATGGCGTAAGTAGTGGTTTTCTATCAAGAGCTAACTAACTAACTAACCCCATCCCGTGCTTCCTGTCTATCTGTGTCCCCACTGCTCTTTCACATTCTGATCTAAGTTCAGGGAAAGCGCCTCTTATGCAGTGGTGCTACCAGCGAGTGACTATCCTCCATGGGGAGGAGAGGAGGGCTCCTTGCAGCTGAGTTTGGCAACGGAATGTCCCAATTGAGTCCTCCCTCTGTGGCGGTCTCGGAAGTCCAGCTCCTGAGCCAGGTGGTCCACAGTACTCTAGGTCACTACTGATGATAGGCCAGTCCAGCCTGCCTTGTCAGTAGGACTTAGAGGGCCAGAGCATTCACTGGGAGTGGGGATTACTCCCACTCGGCTCCCGTTAACCCAGCAAGCCATGGTGAGGTGGTCTTAGCTGGTTAAACAGGGGAGAAGCCAAATAGTGCCTTCAGTAGCAGGAACATACTTTTAGCTGGTTAGACTCCCAACAGTTACCCCAACACACATGCTGGAGTCCCCCTAGCACCGGCAAGCTGTGCCTAATACTCTCCAGAATTAGGTAAGTAGGGTTTATCCCTCCAGAAGAGAAAGAGCGCATTCCGTTCCAGACACAGCGAAATTTCAACATGTAGGTGGTCTACATACATGGCCTACAACTCTCCATCTAGTTTGCATTCCCCTAAAGCACGTTGACAGGTTTCAGCGTGTGTTAGACACTCGGCTGACCAAAGGAGAATGGCGGGAGGAAGTCCAAAGGCACTTAACAATCCTGGCTCGGCACCTGAACTGGGGGTGAGAGCAGGAAGGGTGGTCAAAGATGAGACAGGACTTGAAAGAGGTGAGGTAGGGAGCAAATCGGATGAACACAATGGCACCCTGTGGTGGTGTTTGTGCTTTCTATGTTCCTGGTGAACCTTTATGTTCTCCTCCTCTGCATCTCAACTCTGTCGGACACCTCTTCTGCAATCAGATTCGCTTCCTCTCTTACTACATCGCTGTTGAGGCTTTCAAGGGTTATTCTTGTAAAGTCTGATCTCTATTCTGGGGCTTGAAATTAAGCTCAGATACGTGCACCTTCCAATCTTACGCACGTGTGTGGACTTTTGGAAAACAGCAACAGCAATTAGCAGTTAATTTGGAACACCAATAACAATTTAAATACAATAGATGTTTATATAGTGGGAGGATGTGCTAATAATGACAATTATCCTGAAATAAAAACAGAAGTTGCTGGGAACACACAACAGGTCAGGCAGCATCTATGAATATTGGTTTAACATTTCAGGTCGATGTCCTTTCATGAGAACCGGAGATAAGGGCTCCTCGTTCTTATTTAGCTATCCTGGCTTGGCTCTGGAACTAGGGGTGGAAACTGAGGGAGGTAGGGAGGGGAAAGATGACCGAAAGCGCAGTCAAACAGGTGGATCTTGAGAGCTGGAAGGAGGGAATGAGTCAGAGGGATTCCGGGATGGAGGTCCAGAGAGTAGGGGCAGATAAACTGATTGCTCCATCGTTGATGGTGAGTTGAGGGAGGGAGTGCTGGTGTCTGGGCCGATTCTACCATAGACTTCCTGGCAACTAATGTTAACATCAGGTTTGGTGACTAATGGACTGACTGTGGTCTTGAGAAAGGCCGCCCATTCGATTAATGTGGAACAAGAAGAACATCGACATCAGCGCCCTCCACAGAGCTCGTAACACGGTAGTAACATGAGAGTGTTCCTGAGAGATAAGTGTGAGACACAGTATTGGGCCAAGAGAGAATAGTAAGAAATTTGTAATTTATCACCTTTTTCTAAAAAAAATCCTCATTGCAATCATTTCACACCGTCGAATACTGCCCGTTACTCAAACACTTGCTGTCTCCCACCAGTCCTTCACTCGCTGCAGACCAACTGTGTTAGAACGCAGATCCCTGCGTTATAATTGGACGCGCTATGAAAATGGCCGCACTTCTGGATCGCTAGGTCGCCACCGACATCACTTCCTGTGCGTTACGCTCAGAGACCTCCTGCCGATGCCACTTCCACACAGTGCACGCGGGCAGCGCAGGAAGCTCATGGGATCATAGAAGATTGCAGCACAGAAGGAGGCCATTTGGCCCATCGTGCCTGTGCCAGCTGTTTGGAAGTGCCACCCAATCAGTTCCGCTCCCCCGACCTTTCCCCACAGCCCGTTGCACATTGTCTTTTTTTGGTTTTGAAATAAATATCCAATTCCCTTTTTCAAAGTTGTTATTGATTCTGCTTCCACCAGATCGTAATAACTCGCTGCTTAAAAACATTTCTCGGTATCTCCCCTCCGGTTCTTTTGCCAATTACCTTGAATCTGTGGAAACAGTATCTCCTTATTTGCTCTTTATCGAAACCCCTCAGAATTTTGAACACCTCTATTGAATCTCTCCTTAACCTTCTCCGCTCTGAGGAGAACCATCCCAGTTTCTCCAGTCTCTCCACGTAACTGAAGTCCCTCATCCCTGGTACCATTCTGATAAATCTCCTCCACGCCCTACACACGGCCTTGTCACCCTTCCTAAAGTGTCGGTGCCCAGCATTGGACGCCATGCTCCAGCTGAGGCGTAGGCTGTACCGATGTCACTTGCTGTGGGCACGCAGGAAGCCGACCGGTCGAGGCCAGACACTTGCTTCACTCCCTGTATGTGTGGCGGAGCGGGGCGCGTTCTGACTGGCGTTGGTTCTGTACGGTTCGCGCTAAAGGTACATAAAACTAACGTGTCGCTCTCCTGCTCCTAAATAACTGTGGTTTGATTCTGCAGGTATGTAACAGAGTTTGTAAACCTAGGCAATGTTTCAGCACTTCGAACTTTCAGGGTGTTACGAGCTCTGAAAACTATATCAGTTATCCCAGGTAAGTGCCTTGTGACGCGATAGCCTATTAAGTGAGTCTGACCTCTCCCTTTCCCCTCTCCCTTCCCTTTGCCATTGCTGACGCTTGGCCCCAATGTCAATACTGTTATTGATGCCACTCTTATCGTTGTCTCTGTGTGTCTTTCCCTGCGTGTGCGTTGTGTGTGTGTGTGTGTGTGTGCGTGCGCGCGTGCGTGTGTTTGCGTGGCTTTCACTTGTTGCAGATATGTGACTGAATTTGTGGAAACGGGCAAGGACCATTATTATTTAACCCCAAAATGTGCCGGCCTCGACCAACATTTCTGTTAGCCCTGTTCCAATCATTAATTACGCTCTGGGTAAAGACGTCTATCCTGAAATCGCCCCTTTGCAATCTTGTCGTCTTGTTCTACTTTCGGTGCTTGGGAGGAACGGTTCCCGGTTGACTGTTCCAATCCCTTTTAAAATGTTAGAATAATATATATAGAGAGAGAGAGAGAGAGAGAGGTTCTTTCCTGGTGATCTGGAGGTGTGAGGGGACTGGCCAGGCTATGTACAATCTCATTGTGTGGTTACTCTTCCTGCAAATCGGCCGATGTGGTAATGGGGCATTAAGCGAGTTGGGTAAACCCTGTGCAAGTGTGCGCATCTGGAATGCGGGTTGTGCAAAGTCACGTGTAAAAGCACGTGCATGATGTGAGTTGCGGAAATGCGTGCCTGTTCTGTGTGGCATGCAATCCATGTACCAACTTAGGTGTAAGCATGCGTGTGTTATGCATTGCGTGTGTTATGCTGGGAATCCTGTGTGAGCGCAATGGTTACGGAGGTAATTACAGGTGTCCTTAATTTCAGAACAGATTTATTTGTAATGACAGACAGACAGACAGACAGACACAGACAGACACAGACAGACAGCTCTACAGTAATACTTTAGACTCATAGGTTTGGCTTTTCAAACAAAACAAGAAAAACTGAGGGGACAAAGGGTCAATGTTATAATTTAAGTTGGACAAGTGACGCTAATCCAATGTTCAGTTCTGTTAATCTACGCCCACCACTCCAGTGCTGTGTGGGGAGGGGAGGAGGGGATGTTTGTGTGTGTGTGTGTGTGTGTGTGAGTGGGGGTGGTGGGGTGGCGGGGGATCAGATGTGCCGTCCTTCGGATGAGATGTTAAACTGAGGTCCCGCAGTATCATGTGGTTGGGGGTTTAACGTCTCGGGCAAAGGGACGGCACCTCTGACGTTGCAAGGCCCTCCCCCCAACACTGCACTGGCGTCTCGAGGCGAGAGTGTCACAATTTGGCTGTGCGTGGGGACGTTGGCGAGACGTAAATTGGCTGGGGTGACGGCTGACAGAGCAACCAGTCACTGCACCCGACAGCAATTACCTGAGAAGAGACGTTTGAGACGTTTCATCAGTAGACGCTACCCTTTAGAGCGCGGGGGCAGAGGGGGTGGGGGGGGGGGGGGGAGCGGGATTGAATTGGAATGTTCTTTTCAAAGCACTGGCACAGACACGATGGGCCGAATGGCCTCTCTCTCTCTCTCTCTCTCTGTGTTTCTGTATAATTCTATGGTTCTGTGATTGGGATCCTCAGTAGTTTGGAGAGTCTCGAAGCGCAGTGATGGGTTTCCAAGTGTGCCAGACAACAAGGCTGTCTGAACACAAAGTATTCGCGACCGCTGATGATTAACTAGCATGGTGTTTCCTTGACGACAGGATCAAGAAACAGACCAGAATAAAGATCTGATTAAACGGCAGGAAATAAGCCCTGAATCAGTGAAATAAACCAGTTCTTTCAGCGGCGGTTTTAGCTGGTTATCTCCCAACAGCTACCCCCTAACGCACGCTCTGGCTCTCCCCCACCCGTACCCACCCCCCCCCCACCACAAGCCTAGGATTAGGTGAGAGCTGGGTGCGTCCCTCCAGGGGAGAGAGAGAGAGAGAGAGAGAGAGGATGTTCCTGCAAGTGTGTAACTCATAGAACATTACAGCACTGAAGGAGGCCATTCATCCCATCGTGCCTGTGCCAGCTCTCTGGAAGAGCTACCCAATCAGTCCCACTCTTCCCCCTTCCTTCCCCCCCCACCCCGCTCTTTCCCCATACACACCCCTGCCGATTTCCCCCACATCCCTGCAAACTCTCTGCCAATTGTCTCGGGAGACTCTCCAAACCAAAAGGCCACACGTTTCTGAGTGGGTCAGACATCCAACCAGGTGCTGGAGAAATGTGGTCCTCCGGGGGTTAAGAGATGGGAGGGAGGGGAAGAGTGGGGGTGGGGGGAAGGGGGAAGGGAGTGGGGGAGTGGTGAGAAAGGCCAGCGGTGTTTGGCACGCCAGGGGAATCTCATTACAGCCAGTCGCGATGCGATAAAGCAGAGTCCACATGGCCTGTCGAGCTGAAAACAAACCAAGTTAATCCAATAGGAAACAATGAAATCTATATAAAATTTCTGGAAAGCGCGTTGGCTGCCTCCGATTTATTCCATCGAGCCTGTGGTGAAGGGTAGAGACACAGTGGAGGGTCAGAGGCCGAGGGGTGCAGTCTTGCAGGGACAATATAGTATAATATGGCGCACAATATAACACAGTTTACATCAATAATGTCGCCCCCCCCCCCCCCCCCCCGTTTATAGTGGGTGAGCTTTCAGCCTTTCTGTCCCCACTCCTTGGAACTCCATCCTGGTGTCCCTCCAACTTGTTCCCTTGCCCTTGCCCCCACCCCCCTTCCCTCACTCCCACCCTCTTCTCACCCCCACCCTCCTCTCACCCCCACCCTCCTTCCCTCACCCCCACCCTCCTCTCACCCCACACCCTCCCTCATCTCATTCAAGTCTTAGGGTGTGGGTGAACTGTGTCTTCAACTGGGAATTAGAGATAGATAAATGGGGGACAGAGGGTTTTTAACAGATTCAGAGAAGGCCATCGCTGTTTAATAATAATAATAATAATAAAATAATAATAATAATCCTTGCATTTGATATAGCGCCTTATCATTGAGACGTCTCAAAACGCTTCACAGGATATACCACAACACCAAGTGACCAAATTATTATTTTTTGGAGGGTTTATTACCCCCAGAATTTGATCCGCCAATCAACTATCAACCGGGTTCCTACTTATTGCTGGTAAACAGAGGATTGTGTGTGTGTGTGTGTGTGGAGTGAGGAAACTTGTCCAATATTTCACCCCGACCTGTACGGGAATCGAACCCGGGTCCTCTCGCTTGCGAGGCGAGGACTCTAACCACTGAGCTACAGGACTCCAGCCTTGTTGTTGTTGTTGTTGTTGTTGCTTTTCCCTTACCTGATTGATGACCCTGTGCTCCTCACCCCAGGTTTGAAGACCATTGTGGGGGCTTTGATTCAGTCGGTGAGGAAACTGGCTGACGTGATGATTCTCACCGTCTTCTGCTTAAGTGTCTTTGCCCTGATCGGCCTCCAGCTCTTCATGGGGAACCTGAGACAGAAGTGTGTGCGGGACTGGACCATAGTCAACAACACCAAACTGGACCCCAACCAGAACATCTCCTGGCCTTGGAACGAGACCTATGAGGAGTTCATCATTAATCCGAGTGAGCGAGCGCCATGAACCACGTTAATAATAATAATAATAATAATAATATTCCTTGCATCTGATGTCACCCACATCGAGATGTCTCAAAGCGCTTCGCAGGATATACCGTAAAGTGCAGTGACTGTGTATATTGCAAGCGAACGCACCAGCCGATTTGCGCACGGTCACCACAAATAGCCCGTGCAGGGAACGTCTGCTTTTATCTTGGGAATTGTTGACCTGGATACCGGGAAAACTTGTGGCATTGGAGGGGCAAGGTGGAGGGATTGATGGAGAGAGTCCAAGAGTTTCGGAGCCTAGCGGCTGAAAACACGGCCGCCGATGGTGGAACGGAGGACACGGAGAGGGGACAAGTAACAACAGCAACAAATTGCATTTACACAGCACCCCCTCACACAGGGTAGAGTCTCAGAGTCTACAGCGCTGCATAGATAGACTGTGACGGCCCTAATCCTCCCTCAGAAGCAGCAGTCTGCACTAATGGAGTGCCTTCGATGTTGGATGAGTCAAACCACTTAGCGGAAAAGTAATATCATCGAGCGGGGGAGAAGGAGATTTAAGGATGTTGACCACAATGTTGGAGAGATATATGTTTTTAAGAGGATTTGTGAAGGTAGAAAGAGGGAGGAAAAGAGAGAGGGAGAGAAAGGGAGAGAGAGAGAGAGAGAGAGAGGCACAGACAGAGCCGAAATAACTAGCTTCTTGAGAACATGTGTGCGCTTCCAGAGGTCTGAATCCTGACACTCGCTCACTAAAATATAAGGAAACTTGCCTCAGGTTTTTGCCCTGCCCGGGAATCGAACTCAGGTCCTCTCGCTTGCCAGGCGAGCTCTCTGGAGTTGCCGTCCAAAAATGCCTGGCTTCTGTTTCACTCAGTCTCGGTTAGAACGGGGGGGAGGGGGGGTGGGGGAAGCATTAGGGTATCGCTAGACCTCGAGAGGTCTTCTCTACCCGACCACAACGTCCAGGAGACCAGGAGACTCCCACGGTGTGACTGTGCAAAAATCCGCCCCGCGTTATCCTGTTATAAGCGCCCAGAGAACTCCCCTCCCCTCACCCCCACCCCCATTGAGGTTCCCCTCACTCCCCAATCACCCTCCCCCACTCCCCCCACCCCCCAACGATGACCTCCACATCCCCAGATCTCCGCAACTACTGCCTCCCCCTCTGGCAGCCCCAAACTGCCTTTCACCCCCCAAACCATTTTGTGTGCGCGTATATAGCATAGTCACTTCGCTTCTCAGTAAAAAAAAATCCTGCCAAGAGCGTTTGAGACATCCTCCCACCATGGACGGTGCTCTACGACATACGACATATTATGGTAATAATTATTATTGATAATAATAGTAAACAGCCGAGCCTGGCTGTAAAGGAAAGTTGAGACTTGGGGATAAGGGTAACACCCAACACCTTGAGGGAGGCGCGAGTGTGACTGGAAATCATAACGTTCAGGTTCAACATCATTCACCCACTACTGCACGGAATTTGTCCCCTAAGGAGAGTAGTGGTGACCTGGGAGAGGTCTTTAAAATGATAGGATGCACAGATGATACTCTGTTGACTGCTGCCGACCGAGAGCAAAAAAAATGACTCAACCCTCCGCTCTTGTTAAGCTTCTGGCATGATTATTGCTCCGTGTCCTTGACCTGTCATGGAGGACTGAGTTGATCATAGCATATGTCCGAACTTTAAAGGCCTTCATTTTTTTCGTTTCGCTTTGCGTTCCTTGGATTCCGCTCGCCTGATGTTTTGAACTTGTAATCTGCTTCCTTTTTTTCTTGCTGCGCACGTCCCTCAACCGATTTAAAACAGACAGCGGCAGATTTAACAGGGAGTTTAGGTGGAAACCTTTTTTTTTTACCTGGAGGGTGGTGAGAATGTGCTGGGGCTGAGGCTATGGATGAAGCAGAAATTCAACAACAAGTTGCATTTATATAGCGCCCCCCCCCCACCGCCCCTCACTCGGGGTAGCGTCCCAGAGCGATTAAACTCGTTAAAGGTGAAGGGAAAGGAGAGGGGAATAGAGAGGAGTTGTTGGAGGAGGGGGGGATAGAGGGGTGTAGGAGAAGGGAATCGGTGGGATAGCGACTTGTGTGGTGTGTGGACTAGTTGGGTCAAATGGTCTCTTTCCGTGCTGTAATATTCTACGTGGAGTCCTGTGGCGTATTGAGTTAGAGCGAGAGGACCCAGGTTGGATTCCAGGGTAAAACATTAGCCAAGTTTCCGCGATTGATAATCCCTCCAAACAACAAAAAAAAATGCTATTGGTCGCTCAATCCACGACAGTTTGCGGGGAACGCTGCTGTGCGCAAGTGGCTGCCGCGTTTGGCCCGCAAAACATGCAGCCAGTTACCCTTTTACAGGACGTCCTGCGAAGCGCTTCGAGACGTCTCAACGACGCGATAAGGCGCTGTGCGGAAATTGCAAGGATCATTGGAGGAAAGGGAAACAAAGTAGATTCGGAAGCGGGAGAAGATGACTTCAATCTGATGCTCCCTTTGCGGACAGAAATAAATGTCCTGATACGCTGGGAGCCCGGCGGAGATGATGTATTCTGATCCACCAGCGAAAGCTTTATGATAAATCAGCGGATTACCGTTTGAATTGGAGCCTTATCAAAACGTTCTTAATCTGTTTCCACAACGGAGTTTACCTCGTCGAGTGTTTTCTGCCCCGACCAATAGTGTAATTGTCTCAATATTGCCGAGACTCTGGCTGTCAATCAACACCCCCACCACCTCTCATCCCTGACCCCCAAACCCCACCCCCCCTCCTCTCCGTCCTCGCTCCCGCCCGGGGTGACCTCGGGGAAAGTGGGTCTGGCTGAGAAGGAAAGGGCTTTGTGGGTCAAGCAGCCTGTGCCCTCATATCACTTCTGTACCTCAGTGGAAGGGGAGGCAGACCAGGTGGCTCCAAACCAGCTGTGTGATCGCTGGGCTTTTACATATTGAGCTGCGGTAAATTCCTTATCCGGAAAATATTATCCCGTGGGGGGAGGAAGAGGGGGAGAGGAGGAGGAATTTCTTCTGAACGGATCTGAAGGGAGTTTCATCATAGTTTCTAACTCGGAACACCCTACCCCGATCGGGCTTTGACTTGCAGAGTGAATATAATAATAATCCTCGCATTTGATGCAGCGCCTTATCACGTCTTCGAGACGTCTCAAAGCGCTTCACAGGATACACTGTAAAGTGAATTGACTGTGTATTTTGTGTGGGGCGAAACGAGGCAGTGGATTGTGACTGCAATGATTATGATTGTTGTTAATGGAAACCTGGGGTTTAGGGCTTTGGCTTTGCAGGGTTAATGGAATGGGAGTAATCCTTGCTCCCAGTACCTCGTCTACCTCCTTTGCCCATTTGTCCTTGAGGTTTGGTGTATCAGAAAGGAATTGCTCTCTGTTTCCCTAATCGTGCTCCAGCTCCTTATATTGGGATGTGAGTTGGAGGCATCCCATGTACTGACTGCCATTTTTTTCCTTAATATCTAGAAAACTACTTCCATCGCGATGGAGATAAGGATGCCTTGATTTGCGGAAACAACTCAGATACTGGGTAAGTGCTCGGATGGCTTGATGTCACGTGTAATTATCTCTGTGGCTTGTGAAATGCAGCTTCGTATTTCATATTTCCCTCCCCCCCCCCCCCCCCCGCCCCAACATTTCCTCCGAAGTGGGGAGGCTGGGGGGAGGGTTTATGCGGAGTAGATTTACTGTGATGTGACCAGGGATGAGAGGATATGATCAAGAAAAGCCTGAATTTTTTTCCCCCTGGAGATGAGATGATTGAGAAGGGATCTGATGTTTAAATGATGGTGTTCAATGGGGTGGATATTAATAAGCTTGTTCCCCATTTGTTGGTGAAATGAAACTGAAACACGAGGGTATTATAATAATAATAATAATAATCCTTGCATTTGATGCAATGCCTCATCACATCATTGAGACGTCTCAAAGCGCTTCACAGGATACACTGTAAAGTGAATTGACTGTATATTTTGTGGGCGAAACGCAGCAATTCGCTGTTCCTTCGACACCCTGTTTTCTACAGCTGAGAGAGAGAGAGAGAGAGAGAGGCACCGGCCTCTGAATCAAGACTGAGTCTGAGAATTTTGCAAACCTCTTAAATTGGAGACAAATGTGATCTTGGACTAAGCGCAATTTCAGGACTCTATTGGCGCCATAATCTAATCGCAGTACCCGTATGATTTGTGACCGAATGTAGCTTCCGAAAGCTCAGGACTATGTTACAGTGAATAATTGGAGGCAACTGCAGCCGCTGCACTCTCTCCTCTGAGTCAGAAGGTTGGGGGTTGAAGCCCCATGTCTCGACGTGGAAGTAACTTGAGACGTCCTCCTGACATCAAAGGCATTATAGAAATGTTAAGGTGTGTTGTATTGATCTCACAGTCCAGGCTGATGCTCCAATACTGAGATGCCGTCCTTTGGAAGAGGCGTTAAACTTTTTTGTCTGGATCGGCCGGGTGTCTGACACACGCGGAAACCCGTCACCGTTGCTTAAGAGTCTCCAAACCCAGCTGAGAATTCCCTGCCTCCCACCTACACGTGGACATCCCAGAGATAGGTTGTTGGACTAGAATGCGCTCTCTCTCTCTGTCTCTCTCCCTGGAGGGACGTCCCCTGCTTACCTAATTCCAGAGAGTATTAAGCGCAGGTTGGCGAGAGCCAAGGCTTGAGGAGGTGGGGGCGGTGAGCCCAGAGTGTGCGTTGGGGGCAACTGCTGGTGTCTAACCAGCTAAAACCCTACAGCTTGCCATTAATATCAATGTCTGGCCAAGCTTTCCCACTGCTTGCCCAACTAGGACCATTAGGGCTTTGACTTGTAGGGTTAACAGGAGCTGAGTGTGATGATTCCCTACCCCCCAGGTCCCATCTGTGGCCTGTTCAATTATGCATTAAAGATCCCTCAGTGAAAAGAAAAGGGAGTGCATTCCACCCACCTCCAGCCCCACCCCCCGATAAAACTGATCGTTCACTTTATGGCTGTTTGTGGGACATTTCCTGTGCGCGACTTCTCTTACTCTTGTGCGCAGCAGAAGGAGAAGGTTGAGTGAAGTTCTAATAAATGTATCTTCGCCTAAAATAGACGGATAGGTAAATAAATAATGTAAGCGAGGAGAAATGATTCCCACCGGTCTGCGACTTGGTCACGAGACAACATTGATTGAAAATAATTAGCAGAAGAGTCAAAGGAGAGAGTTTGTGTTTTTTTTTACACACACAGGATGCGGAAAGCCCTTCGTGGGATTGTGGTTGATTTCGAGTCCATAAAAGCTTTTAAGAGGGAATTAGACAAATATCTGAAAGGGAAAAACATAAAAGGGTTTGCGTCTCCGTGTGTGGGGGATAGGGGAGGGAAGGTAATAAATCGGGACTAAACTGACTGCTCTTTCTAAGAGGCAAGTACTAGTCTGAATGCCTTTCGTGCTGTTAATTTCTCCTTCTGTAAAATCCCGTAGCCGAGTGTGAAGTCTCTTGCATTTGATACAGCGCCTTATCGCGTCGTTGAAACGTCTCAAAGCGCTTCGCAGCATACGCTACACCGCGGGAACTGCTCCCGTGAGGTTAAGTGGCGGTGGCTAAAGAGGAATCTTTATACGATAGGCATTGATGCGAAACTCCAGGAGGTGCGAGGAAATGGCTTTGAATTCTAAACGCAGGATCTAACTCTCCCCACCGCCACCCCCCCACCCAACCCTCCTCTTTCGGTCGTTAAGTGAGTGAGTCACCGGCAGACTGACTCATTGACATCAGAACAATCCGTGATCAAGCTGTTAAGAGGCAGAGTAGGGTCAATGGGCTTCACCATTGGTTTGTGTAGAGCTTCCTCTTTCTGTCTCTCTCTCTCTCTCCTCCCCCCCCCCCCCACCCCCACTCGCTCGCAGGAGGAGAGAGCAATGCACAGCGCACTGGGTGTGAGTCAAAGTTCAGGGCGAGTGATGGGCTTGATATTTTTAGCTCTACGTCAGGAAAATAACAGAGAGTGGCTGCCAACAAGTGATGGTTTAGCGCTCTCACTAGGGATAGGTAAGTGGGGTAAGATAGGTAAGCGAGGGCCCCCCGGTTCGATGCCCGGGCGAAACGTTACGCAAGTTTCTCCCACAAATTTTACGACTAATTCCCTTTACAGTATAATTCCCCGAAGCGCTTGGAGACGTCTGAGTGACGTGATAAGGCGCTCTATCAAGTACGAGGACTATTAAAATCAGGGAGCAAAACCTTAGCGCCTTGAGACGTCCTCCCGACTATTCACTCCATCGAACCCCCCCCCCCCACCCCATCGTTTTAAAGGAATGTAAAGCTCTGAGACGTTATTCTATGCTTCACTGTTTGAAAAGGGAAGGGAGTTCCTCCCGGCATCCTGGCCAACAATCCCCCAGATAAAATTGGCCACTTAATAGCTGTTTGAGCGACACTGCCGCGGGGCAAATTGGCTGCAAAAACGCACAGTCACTACACTTCACAGCGTTTCTTGCGAAGAGGGTTGAGACGTCCTCCCAAGGCTTTGTTACCATTTGGTTATTTTATTTATTTATCAGCAGCAATTTACAAGCCTGAAGAGTTTGGGGCCAGCGATTAAATTATTGATGGGAGCATTTGTGTGAGGGAGTTTGGGAGATGTTTCCTAAATGAGACTCATTTCGAAGACCGTTTAATTTGCTTTATTGTCTCTTAAGTGTGTCACGTACGACACAATTTAATGCAGGAACGGCAGATGTTTGAATTGTCATCCCAATGGGAATTACGTAACCACTCAACAGACGGCGTAGAGCGCAGAGTCTACCATCCACCCTCACGGGGACCTGCCTCAGTGTGGATAAGGAAATGTTGAGGTGGATGCAACAAAGCTTACAAAGAATGTACAGCGCGGAAACAGGCCAACCAGTGTTCATACTCCACAGCAGAGCCCCACAAACAGCCGTGGACAACTGGCCAAGTTGTCGGGAGAGAGCAAGAGAGAAAGAGAGTGAGAAACTCCCTTCTCTTTTCGAACAGGGTCACGGGATCTTTAACGTCCACCTGAACAGGCACAGACGGGGCCTGGGTTTAACGTCTCACTTGTGACATCCACCCACCTCCCACCCACCTCCCACCCCACCTCCCACCCACCTCCCACCCACCTCCCACCCCATCCCTGGGGCTGGAGTGTCGGTCTGGGTGGCTGTTTCTCAGTGTGGGATTTCCACACGCTCCCAAGCTCCAACCGACCCGGAAACTGACTGGGCAAAGCAAAGCCATCCCAACGCACAAGAAACCTCCTCCGAGCTAGCGTTGTCATGGTGATTATAAGCTCCCTGCAGGCGCCGTAATGACTAGGTGCGGCTGGAACTGTCTGTAGCTTCGAACCAGATAAGTGGAAGCCGGTCCTAATGGTACTTTCAGCAGAGACCACTTTGCGGAGGAGCTTTCGAGTGGCAAGATTGACGTTATTTTTAACAGTGAGACATGTAACTGCGTCTCTGGAAGATGTTTGACTCTTTTGTTTTGACTCAACCTCACTGAGACAGTCGGGAACCGAGGTGTCTTGTTGAGTTGGGTTAGGGGAGCCTCGGTGGTGGTAGTTGATGTGATGAATGGCCTGGACGAGGGTTTGAGGGGTGAGGCAATGGCGGAGGTCGGGTGACGGTGGGGGGGGGGGTAGAAAGGAGAGTTGAGGGTCAAACAAGACTCCCAAGGCTTCGGGTTGGCTCAGCGAGGTGGAGGATGGAGTGTGCATCCGTGGGACTTCTAAGATCGATCGCAGGCTAAGATTAGGTGGAATTTCAGGCTTCTCAGAGTCGATCAGTGCGTGAAATTTCACCCGAGCGAAACTGTTCTGTTTTCACCCCTGAATAATAATCCCTCCAAAACAAAACACAATAATAAATCGGTCATTTTCAATCCACGACTGTTTGTGGGGCATTGCTGTGCGCAATTGGCTGCCGCGTTCGCCCACAAATATACAGTCAATTCACTTTACAGTGTGTTCTGTGAAGCGCTTTGAGACGTCGAGAAGATGTGAAAAGCGCTATATCAAATACAAGGATTACTATTATTATGGCACTCACACACACACACACAGTCACACACACTTGCGCTCACGCACACACACACACAATCGCACTCACACAATCACACACACACAGTCACACACATTTACACTCAGACACCCATTCACACGCACACGCACACACACACACTGATCCCCTCTGGACGTCTAAATCCAGTCTAACTTGTCCTGAATAAAACATGGGGTTAACAGGACTTTGTAGACACTCCGTACACAACACCCCGTCACTACTATTTGCAAATTGACTGCGTATTTGCGGGCGTTGCGATTCTTATATCGGTGAAGGGATTTCGGGCAGGACTGCATTTTTTTTTCTTGAGTAAACGTCACTCGCTCCTACAGGAAGTGCCCTGAAGGCTTCGCGTGCCTGAAGGCGGGGAGGAACCCAAACTACGACTACACCAGCTTTGACACGTTTGGTTGGGCTTTCCTGTCTCTGTTCCGACTGATGACCCAGGATTTCTGGGAGAATCTCTATCAGCAGGTATGTGCCTCCCAATAGACTGAGTATTCCCCCTCCACCCCCCCCCCACCACCACCCTTCCCCCTCCCCTCCCCTGGGTCCTGTAAGCGAGGGTGCAGTTTGACTGCACAAGTGTAATTTGTTGCCGTCGTTGACCTGCAGACCCTACGCTCGGCTGGAAAGACCTACATGATCTTCTTCGTGGTGGTGATCTTCCTCGGCTCCTTCTACCTGATCAACCTGATCCTGGCCGTCGTGGCCATGGCTTACGACGAGCAGAACCAGGCCACCATCGCGGAGAACGAGCAGAAGGAGAAGGAGTTCCAGAAGACCATGGAGCAGCTTCGGAGGCAGCAGGAACAGGAGGAGCAGGTAGGGTCCATCTCTGGCCACCACCACCCCACCTCCCCACCCCACCCCCCGCCCCCAGCCCTCAGCGCCCCCACAAGCCACGACTGTTTGTGGGCTTAATTGGCTGCCGGGTTTCGCCCACGAAATCCGCAGCCAATTCACCGCACGGTGTATCCTGCGAAGCGCTTTGAGACATTTCGAAGACGTGATAAGGCTCCGGGTCAGACGCCAGTATTGTTATTATTTTTGTTTTTAACCTGGCAGATTTTGAGCGGCCTGGCAAACGAGACCATGTCGAGAAGCTCCTCGGAGAGGTCCCATTTGAGCGCAAGGAACGCCAAAGACCCCAAGAGCCACAAGACCAAGAAAGGGAAGTTCCTGGGAAGGTTAGAGGAGAGCATGGACGAGGAAAGGGCCTTCAGGTCAACCTCAGTGGAAAGTCTCCCGCGGAAGGTGATCTATGAATATTAATAACATAATGAAATAGTAATTAACATGGATGTAAACATGGCAAACAATATGATATAACATTGATAGAATAATCGCAATAAAATAATAGAGCCACAAAATAACAGTAATATAGTTATAATGGCCAGAACCCATCAGTGTGGCTACGCCTCCTATTATAACACTGAGACCCCCTGTTATTTTGACGGTGAGACCTCTTGTAATTACAATGAGAACTTCCGCGCCCCCACACGCACGCACGCACATACATACACATACACAACACACATACATACACACACATATACACGCAAGCACACATACACACGCATGCGCACACACGCACACATACATACACGCACACACAACACACACACACACATATACACACACACATACACACACACATATACACAACACATACAGACACACACACACACAGATTCATTATGACTGAGTCTCTCTCGCAGCCTCTCACGGCTCCTCTGATCTTCTCGAACCACCACCGGCCTCGAAGAGGAAGCATATTCCGGTTCCCGCCGCAGCCCGCTGACCTGGGCTCCGAGAGCGAGTTCGGCGGAGACGAGGGCAGCGCCTTCGAGGACGCGGGGAGCCGCCGGGGGTCTCTGTGCCCGCCCCTGCTGAACAGGACTAACAGCACCCACAGCTGGGCAAGCCAGAGGTCCGTGCCCGCCACCCCCACCCTCGCCCTCAACGGCAAGAAGAAAAAGCACAGCGCGGTGGACCAGAACGGAGTGGTGTCTGTGGTGGGGGTGCTGCCAGCCTCGCCCAGCCTCCTGCCGCTGCCACAAGTGATTGTCGAGAGACCTGGCACAGAAGACCACGTAAGAGACGTAAAGCTTTTAAAGCTTTGCCTTCGTTTGTCAGGACAAAGTATTTTGATTATCGATTGTGTCAGGGGTCAGCGAGCCAGAGGACCCGGGTTCGATTCCCGGGCGCGACAGGTCAGGGCGAAACCTTAGGCAAGTTTCCTTAACCCCCCCCCACACACACGCACACACACACACACACACACACACACGCGCACACGCAGTCAGTCAGTAGGAACCCGGTTGTTAGTCGATTGGCGGATGGCTTTTCCGGGGGTAATAATCCCTTCAAAAAAATAATAATAATAATAATTTAGTCCCTCAATCCAAGGCTGTTTGCGGGTACGCTGCTGTGCGCGATCGGCTGTCCGCGTTTCACCCACAAAATACCCAGTCAATTCACTTGACAGCGTATCCTGCGAAGTAAAGCGCTTTGAGACGTCTCGGCGACATGGTGAGTCGCGGTATCAAGCGCAAGGATTATTATTATTATTATAATAGCCTTATATTTGATACAGCGCCTTTAATGTGGCCGTCTCAAAACACTTCGCAGGATATAGTGTGAAGTGAAGCGACTGTGTATTTTGTGAGCACAGCAGTGCCTCGCAAACAGTCGTGGATTGAGTGACCAGCCTATTATTATTTTATCGATTGATTCGTTCTTTCGGAGGGAATTAGCGATCGGCGTCAATCACTGGCTACTGTTCAGAATGAACAGCCAAACCCTTGCTGAATATTGGAATATCGTTGCCGAGTGGCACGTAATGGGACGTTTTTGAACGCGCGAGTACATGCTCTTTGCCTCGGACCGATTTGCACCTGTTCATTTGGCTCATTTGATCTCGGTTGAGGTTTTTCCCTTATCCCTAACCAGCGCCGGTCCTTAATCCCCGCTGCCTCCCACGGGCAGAATGAAAGCAGAACCCAAGCGTGTTAGGAGGTTGAAGGAAGAGGACGCGAGTGAAGAGATAGAAGTCTTTCGGGATCGAAAGGGGGGCCATTTGCTCACTCGCTGTTCCCTGAGCCTGGCGTGTTAAAGGGAGGCGGAGTGTACGACTCAAGGCACTACCTCTCCATTAGATTGACGGTCAATCATTTTCCAGAGGGACAATTATATTCCATCCTAATCCGACCAGGATAAACGACACCTGATCATGTCCCCGAAGATTTACTGTGGCTCAGATTTGACAACCCCACGGCAACCCCAGACCCTCTCCCCCGTTGGACCCTCTTGGAGCTCTTAATCACGGCTTCCTGTGTTTGTCAGCCATTTATCTGTTTGTGAGAGCCACAACACATTTTTTGCGACACACACACAAACAAACAGCTGACAAACACAAGCATTTTAAGATCCTCGTGATAAATCTCCAAGCTAGGGAGAGGGGGGGAGGGGGGAAGGGAAAGCATTAAACAATTCTCTGAGGCATTGTTGGGATGATTTGTAAGGAACGGGTTCTCTGAAGGCCAATAAACTTTGGAAAAAGCTAAAAATGTTATCTTCGAATGGCGTTCATCAAGTTACACTAAGAATAATGTCCTCGCCGCCAAGGTTCATAAATTTAGGAACGAGAGGGAAGCTATTAGGGCCCCATCGAACCTGATCTGCCCACAGAACTTCACGGCACAGAAGGAAGCCAATATGGCTGACAATTCCCACCCACCTCCCCCAGCCCAGATTAAATCATTCACTGCCTGGTTGTTTGAGGCATTGGACCCAGTGCAGGTGAAGAAATGAAGTCTACAGTGATGAAGTCTCATCCTTTCCTTCTTCTCCCCAGTCTTCCCCGTCCGATAATGAAATGAGTAAGAAACGTTTGCTGGTTGATCATTGCCTCTCCATGGATTACCTTGAGGAGTCCCACCGAAGAGACCGGGCGGTCAGTGCATCCAGTGTCGTTACCAACACCATGGAAGGTGAGAACATACAGAGGAAGGAGGAACATTCAACACTAACAACAGTTTACGTTTACACGGCGCCTTTCACATCGGGATGGTGTTCCAAGGCGCTGGACGGTCAGGCATTTGGACCCGAGCTGGTGGGGTGGAGGGTAGGGAGAGTGGGTGGGGGGATAGGAAGGGGCCCGAAGGCGGGGTCGAAGAGGAGGTTCTTGAGACGGGCCTTGAAGGAGGCGAGGGAGGGAGCGAGGGGAAAGGACTATGGGATGGAGTTCCAGAGGGTTGGGGCGGAGAGGCTAAAGGAACGACCGCCGATGGTGGGGCGGGGGGTGGGGGGCGTGGAGCAGACTGGAGAACGGAGGGAGCGGACAGGTCTGTGTGGAGTGAGCAGGTCACTCGCTCAATTCAGCACGTGGGGTACGTGTATAAGCGTGTGGTTTGATGCTGAGCAGTGGAGGAAGGGGAGGTGACCACGGACACGGGCAAAGAGGAAAGTCCTTGATTTCTCTCTCCCTCTGTCAGAGGAGACGTCAAATGTATTGACCTGGACATTAATGGGTGTTTTCAAGACCTTGGAGTTAACAAAATAGTTGTCACATTTGATTACTTGCTTGCTTTTCTTTCTCTCTTTCTTTCGTTCTCTCTTTCATTCTCTTCCTTCCTTCCTTCCACCCTTTCTTTCTTTCTTTCTTTCTTTCTCTCTTTCTCTCTTTCTTTCTCTGTTTCTTTCTCTCTCTCTTTCTTTCTTTCTCTCTCTCTTTCTTTCTTCCTCTCTTTTATTCCCATTCTTTCTTTCCACCCACCTTTGCTTTCTCTCCTCCTTGCTCCCCCCCTCTCTCTCCAGCGCACAATTAATCTCCCCATCGTTCCGAAAATAGCCCGGTTTAAAAATAGCCTCCCTTCCCGACAAGGCCCCGTAGACATCTTCCAAAATGGTTGCTTCCTCTCAGCCTACTTGAGTGCGCAGACCTCTCCCTCACCCACGTCTGTGAACCTGCGCTCCCCAAACCCAACCCCTGCCCTTCCTCCCCACACGCGCCCACACGCACGCGCCCACACACACGTGCACACACACGCGCGCACACACAAAGGCTGGTGTGAAGAACGCTCCTACTCAGCTTCACTTGCCTTGTTTTTCTCCTGATTGTTCCCCAAGGCTTGTAAAGTGCCTCTGGCATATGTTTTTTTTGTTCACAGATGACAGCAAAGCTCCCAGCAGTGGAGGGTCCCAAAGGATTACGCGCCCCCCCTCTCGCCCGCACCAAACCCCCGCATCCCCCTCCCCTGCCTCCCCCTCCCACTAAGTGCCTTAGTCAGAGTCAAAAAATGCAGAGTGTGATAATAACAAATAATAACACATAATCGTCATAATAATTCTTCAATTTTTCTGCAGAGCTTCGCGCATCCTGCTTTGGCTGTAAAGTGTAGTGACTGTGTATTTTGTAGCCAATTTGCACCCTGCGGCGTCCCACACACAATAGGAAGAGGATGTGCCATTTTATTTGGGGAAATTGCTAGTCAGGACACCGGGAGAGAGAGAGAAAGAGAGAGAGAGAGAGAGAGAGAGAGAGAGAGAGCGGTTGGTGGGGGTGGGGGGGAGAGAGAGAGAAACTCCCTTCTCTTGTTGAATAGCGTCTCGGAATTTTTATTGTCTTCTCTGACCGGGCAGGTGGCTCCTCGGTTTAACTTCTCATCCGAAAGGCACAGCCTCCCGCAAATGCAGTGCTCCCCTCAACACAGCGTAGTGTGTGACTTCCAAAGTCCTGAGGCGGGGCTTGAACCCCACAGCCTTCCTCCCTCTCTCCCTCCGTCTCGGCATCAGCCTCCGCCACTGTTAAGCGCTCCAACACCCTGTGCCCCGCTTGAACCGCGCTGTGTAGATCCAAGGAATTGTTGTCGTTGTGGTTGTAGACGGGATGGATGGAATTCTTATGTTCGGTGCATATAAAAAAAATGGCGTCCTCCTGACGTGAAAAGCGGCGTCCAAATGTAATTAGTTGTTGTTGTTGACGTCGTCGTTGTTGCCCTCCCCAGAACTGGAAGAATCTCGTCAGAAGTGCCCTCGCTGCTGGTATCACTTCTCCCAGACCTACCTGATCTGGAACTGCAGTCCGCAGTGGATCCGAATCAAGAAGACGGTGAAGGTTATCGTGATGGATCCCTTCCTGGACCTGAGCATCACCATCTGTATCGTGCTCAACACCCTCTTCATGTCCCTGGAGCACTACCCGATGTCCAAGGAGTTCGAAAACATGCTCCACGTGGGCAACCTGGTGAGCAGAGCTCTCTGAACGACCACCGTCCTCGCCTTTGATGCCGTGCTTCAAATGGCACGTGTTCAGCGCTTTTCACGTAGGGAGGATGTCCCAGTGCGCTGGACGGTGAAGGGTTCGCGCTCGAGTTTGGGGGGTGGGAGTGCGGGTGGGAGTTACTGCTGGGAGGATGATTGAAGGCACCTCATCGATACATCCCTAAGATCTCTAAGGGACTTTAACCGTGGACTTGAGGTACTGTGTCTGTAGCCAAGTTTGCTCACAGCAATGTCCCGCAAACAGCGAGGAAACAAGTAGTTTCAATCCCGAAACAAATTCCGGGATTATTACCCCCGGAAAACGATCCGCCAATCGACTAACAGCCTATTTACTGCTGGGTAAGCAGATTCGTGCGGAGTAAGGACAATTGGCTGAGGGTTCGCCCTGCCCGGGAATCAAACCCAGGCCCTCTCGCTTGCGAGGCGAGGGTGCTAACCACTCCGAGACGGGATTTCAAGATGTCGCTTGAAGCAGGCTTTGTGAGCGGGGAGGGAGAGCCCGAGTAAGAAGGACTCCGGGATGTAATTCCATCGAACGGGGGCAGCAAAGCTTGCCCACGGGATGGGGAGGGAGGAGAGCGCTGGGGACATGAAGCAGGGCCATGTTCAGGGAGAGGAGCAAGTTCCCGGATTGTCGAGCTGCCGGGGTGTCCTGACGTGAGATTGTGGAGGCTTTCAAATAACAATAAATAATCCTTGCAGTCGACACAGCGCCTTATCGCGTCGTTGAGACGTCTCAAAGGGGCTTCACAGAATACGGTGTAAAATTAACCGTCTGCGTATTTTGTGGGTGAAACGCGGCAGCCGATCGCGTCCCCCACAAACAGGCGCGGATTGAAGTGACCAAATTATTAGCGTTGTTTTTTTTCCTGAGGGATAATTATCAGGCGTGTAAGGAAACGTGCCTTTCGCTCTGCCGGGAATCGAACCCAGGTCCTCTCCCTTTGCGAGGCGAGTACTCTAACCACTGATTATAATTATTATACTAATTAACAACAACAACTTGCACACACACACACATATATATAAAACTAGCGCCCTTCACTTCTCGGCAGTCCCGATGAGCATCGCCGACAGTAATGACTCTGGGACATTGTGTGTGTGTTTCACTGTCACTGTGAGGAGACGCCATACAAATGCGAGTTAAAGTCCGAGCGATTTTTTGTTTTCTTTTGATCGGAGATCAGAGTTTCTGAGCACTAAGTAAGCTTTGAGCGAGCGAGAGGGAGGGCGAAGAGAGCTGTTCTTCTGAAATACTCGACGGGCAGGTGTCCGTTTGTCTGTCTGTCTGTCTGGCCTCTAACAGCTGCCAGCGCTGTGACACGGAGCACTCAAGCACATGAGTGTGAAATGAATGGTCCGAGCTGCTAAACTATTGAGCCAATCTAATCTTCCCCTTTAGATGTGTGGCATTCTGAGATTGGGCTGCCAAGTGTCCCATGTGTTATTTGATGTCCCAGAGTGAAGAGCGCCAATCACTGCGCCGACCCAGATTGCGCGAGCGGAGGTGTCTGGAGATTTGGGAGGGAGGAATCCAAAATGGCAACGACTACCAACAATATTATAACGACCGTTCGCTGTTTGCGGGGACCCCCGCTGGGCGCAGTCGGGCTGCCGCGTTTCGCCCCCAAGACATTACAGTCAATTCGCTTTGCGGTTACATCCTCCAAGATCCTCTCCCTCGTCTTCAAGTCCCTGCACTCCTCCGCAACCCCCACCCCCTCCGACCTCTCTGACTTCCTCTCTCCTCAAAACAGCACCCATTGCCTTCGTTCCTCCGGGTTCTGGCCTCCTCCTCGTCCCCCGAGTCCTCCGCTCCACCCTCGGCGGCCGTGCCTTCAGCCCCTGCGCCCTGAGGCTCTGGAACTGCCTTCCTCACTCCCTTCGCCTCGCCCCCTCCCTTCCCATTTTCAGGTCTCTGCTGAAGACCTTTCTTTTCGACCGCACCTTTGGTCACCTTCCCCCCCACTCCTCCCGGCTCGGTCCCGTGATCCGTTACTGTGAAGCGCTCTGAGACGCCGTCCGGCGTGGAGGGCACTATATAAATCCAAGTTGTTGTTGTTGTTGAGATGTTTCGAGGACGTGATAAGGGGCTGTATCGAAAGCGAGGATTATTGGTATTGTTATTAATAATAATCCGCTCCCGAACTGGTTTCCGGAGTTTATCAGATCCTTAGGGTTTGCCTTTTGTTGGATGTTTTTTGTTTTCTCAACGTTCATAAAAATGTTGAGCAAATTTCCCGAACTGGATAATAAATGATCCATCATCCTTACAAGAGATCAGGACGTACATACATCTCACGGGATTTACTGTAAAGTGCAGCGATTGTGTAATTTTTCGAGGGAAACACAACAGCCAATTCGCACGAAACCACGTCCCACAAACAGCCATGACGGTAATGACCGGGTTAAATCTGGGGGATTGGCATTATTTTGAATCGTTGCAATCTGCGAGTCGGTACCATCAAAGTCAAAGTCCCAAAAGTGCTTCAGTGCTAATTAAATCAAAGTGACGTGAGGGTCTGTTCTGCAAAGGAACAAAGCAGCTGATTTTGGCGCAGCCCAATTCCCTTAAACGTTCACAGACGAGGTCAGTGATCAATTTTATCCAGTGAATTGCTGGTCAGGACACGGGGGAAAAACTTATGGGATCTTTAACGTCCACCAGAACAGACAGATGGGATCTCAGTTTGATGTCTTCTCTGACAGTGTGTGTGTGTGTATTTGAAAGCCAGTGACTGACAATTCACCCTCCATCCCTCCGTGGACTCAAACTGTGGACTACAAACTCAAAGTCCTGGTACGAGGCTTAAATCTACCACCTGACTTGCAGGCAAGAGAGGAATAATTTGGGATGATGACATGGGAGAAGTGTTGGATTAATAGAGTTTGCAGCACAGAAAGAGGTGTGCGCAATTGGCTGACATGTTTTGCCCCCAAAAATACACAGTCAATTCATTTTACAATATATTCTGTGAAGCCCTTTGAGACGTCCCAACGATGTGCTAAGGCGCTGTATCAATGCAAGTATAATTATTATTATTATTATAAGATTTGGCATGAGCAGCTTTTAGAGTAGAGTCAATTGGGGACATTTAAAAGAGATTAGATAAGCACATGAAGAAGGTATATTGGGAATAGGGAAAGGATGGAAAATTGGGATTCCATTGGAAAGATTTCTTGGAAGAGCAAAATACCAACACCAAAAAAATGCAGAATGGCCTCCTCGTCTCTCTCGCTCTGGGACATTACCCCACGTAAAGGGCGCGGGCGCTATATGTTGTTGTTGTTATTGTTTTTGTTTGGTTATTATTGTCGTCCAATTGACCTCAAGTCAGTAGAACAAGAGGGCATAAATGTAGAGTCGCAAAGATCAATTTTAGGCCGGACACCGGGAAGTATTTAACACAAAAACAGAAGTCGCTGCGAACACTCAGCAGAGGGTCCGGCAGCATCTATGGAGAAAGGAAAATGAGTCGATGTTTTGGGTCCACGACCTTTCATCAGAAGTAGGACATGTTGCAAGGCAGAGGCTTTGAAGGACTAACAGAGAAAGGGGGGAGAGCAGGGCAAGGAAGACAAAGGAGAAAATAGGGTAGAGGACGGGGGATGATGAGTTAAAGAGGTGTGGTTGGGTGGTTGAGACCAGGACACTCAAACTCATTTAACAAAAAAAATGGCTTGAGGCTGTGGTGGGAGGGCAGTTGGCAGATGTACTGGACGGTTGAGATCAAAGGGCCTTCTTCGCCCAAACCAATCTCGTGATCTTCTTTGAACATCATCTTTTAATAAAGCCCTCACTTACGAAACTCACACGAGGGCCAAGATTTACTTTAGGGAATCAGATGCAGTAATGAATAGAGAAGAGCCATTTGTAGGTATGAGAAACCAATGCTAATTGATTGCTTATTGAGTTGGATTTTGGTCAGCCGGGCGGGCGTCCGTGGAGGGACAATTGTGGGGTGGGGGAAGTCACTGGGAACACCCGATACTTGCCGTGGGAGTCCGTTCTGGGATGTGCGGTGTTGCGTGGGGAGTGGGAGAGGCGGTGGGGGGGGAGGTAAGGAGCGTGGGTTCGGTCCCATGGTGTCATTCCCTGTCCTCCGCAGGTCTTCACCGGGATATTCACTGCCGAGATGATCTTTAAGATCATTGCCTTGGATCCGTATTTCTACTTCCAGCAGGGCTGGAACATCTTCGACAGCATCATCGTCAGCCTGAGCCTCATGGAGCTGGGCCTGGCCAACGTCGATGGACTCTCCGTGCTGCGATCCTTCAGGCTGGTACTGATTTTACTCAACGTAATGTCCGTCTGTTCTTCAGTGGCCGGCAAGTGAGGATGGGGGGGTGGGGTGAGGGGGCAGGGGGAGTAATAATATCTGTAGTAGTTATTATTAATAATAAAAATGTAACACAATCTATTATTCTTGTTAATATATTCGAGTTTTTTGATAATAATTTATTACAGCGTAATAATAATTAATACATTATCACTCATAATCGCTAATAATATTATTCATAATTATTATTCTCAGACTCTGACAGACAGACAGTCTAACAATCTTACACAGTAATGTAAGTCTAACATAATCGTACACGTCATAATAATCCTCGCCTTTGACCCGGCGCCTCGTCACGTCTTCGAGACGTCTCGAAGCGCTTCACAGGATACACTGTAAAGTGTAGTGACTGTGCGTTTTGTGGGCGAAACGTACAGTCTAACATACGGTGTTACGTGGGGTTAATTACAGTGTTATCCAGTGCCGATGTGAGCGGGGCACGTTTTAACCCATTTGTTTGGTTTCTTGTCACGCCCCCCCCACCTCTCCCCCTCTCCCTCCCCCTCTCCCCCTCTCCCCCCTCCCCCCCCCTCTCCATCCCCCTGCCCACTCGCCCACCCGCCGCAGCTGAGAGTCTTTAAGCTGGCAAAGTCCTGGCCGACCCTCAACACGCTCATTAAAATCATCGGCAACTCGGTGGGCGCCCTGGGCAACCTGACTTTGGTGCTGGCCATCATCGTCTTCATCTTCGCGGTGGTGGGGATGCAGCTCTTCGGCAAGAAGTACCTCGACTGCGTCTGCAGGATCGGGACCAATTGCAAGCTGCCGCGCTGGCACATGAACGACTTCTTCCACTCCTTCCTCATCGTCTTCCGGGTCCTGTGCGGGGAGTGGATCGAGACCATGTGGGACTGTATGGAGGTGGCTGGGAAGCCCCGGTGTATCCTGGTCTTCATGCTGGTCATGGTGATCGGGAACCTCGTGGTGAGTTCCGACCCGCAAGGGACGCTGGCGCCCGACACGCCTGGGGCCGTGGTATAGCGCTCACCCTCGCGCGCTCTCTCTCTCTCTTTCTCTCTCGCTCGCGCTCGCTCTCCGAGTCAGCAGGCGGTGGTTTGAAGCCCCCATGTCAAGCCTTGAGGCTCCATCGCAGTCCGAGCTGATGCTCCAATGCAGTGCCGGGGGCTGTACTGCATTGTCGGAGCTGCGGTCCTTCTGGTAGCAATAATAATATTATTATTATTATTACTACCAGAAGGATAATACTATTATTGTTATTACCACAATGTTAATCATATTATTATTGTTATTATCGCCGCTACTAGACTCTAAAATAATCTTACGTACAGTGTTACTACACAGTGTTGCGCAGACGCTTAACATACAGTGTGTCTTACACATAGTATCGCACACACACACACACATACACACACACATACACACACACTCACACACACACTCACACACATACACTCACACACACACTCACACACACACACTCACACACACACTCACACACATACACTCACACACACACTCACACACACACACACACTCACACACACACTCACACACACACTCACACACATACACTCACACACACACTCACACACACACACATACACTCACACACACACTCACACACATACACTCACACACACACAACACATACACACACGCGCGCGCACTCCCACACATACACACTCACATACTCACACACATACACACACACACTCACACACACACCGAGGTACTGTCGAGGTGGACATTTAAAGACACCGCCTTGTTCCTGGCTCACAGTCCGTCGTACACCTCGTCGGCTGTCACGCTTCAATTGTCGTCGCGTTCCGCCTACAAAACACACAGTCGCCGCACTTTCCGGTGAAGTTCTTCGAGACGTTTTCCCAGCGCGAGGATTATTTATTCCCTTACTAAACCCTTTGAACGCCCCCTCTGGTCTTAGTGGTGACGGCTGCTCAAGTTCTCAAGTTATTTTGGGCAATAAATGGGCGGAAGTTTTTTCGTTTCTTGTTTTTTTTATTTTTTTATTCGTGACAACAAGGCTGTACTTAAGCCGTTATATTTCGCGGCCATTAGCGAGGCGAGCCGTGGGCGGGAGGTGGGGGACAATCAACCCGGGTGAAGGAGACAGATGATTGGGACCTGTTAGCGAGAGAATGCTGCCCCCTCGTTTTGCACAGACCGGTGTTTAAGCTGCTCGTCGGGCTGAGAGACGTGACATTTCAAGACGCTGTGAAGGAAAACGAGCGAAATCGCTAGCCAAGTGGCCGGGCTTTGCAGCCGCTTCGAATAGCTAAGGCAGCGCTAAAAGAGAGGATAATAATAATAATAATAATAATGATGATGATGATGATAATAATCCTTGCATTCGATATAAAGTGCCGGAAGTCCACTTGCTGATCGCAGCCCAGCGCAGCGCAGCGCAGCTCGATGGTAGGAACCTGGAAGAGTAGAAACCAGCCTCCGGGAGCTCCTGTTAACCCCGCGGCCAAAGCCCCGAGGTTTAAGGACCCTGTTTAATTCTAGGAATGGAATGCACTCTCTCTCTCTCTCTCGCTCTCTCTCTTTCTCTCTCTCTTTCGCTCTCGCTCCGGCGAGAGAGTGTGCATTCCATTCCACACACGGGGAAAACTTCACTCTGTCAGGTGGCTTACATCTGTTGAACTCTGCGCGCGTGTGTGTGTGTGTGTGTCAGGTGCCCGGCTGACCGTAAAACAATACTGATACAGAGATATATCTCAGGACGCCTCGCAGGGTGTACTGTAAAGTGCAGCGTATTTCGTAAACGCCGCTCACTAGTCGTGGATTGATTTTTATTAAGGGATTATTACCGAGGTTTCCTACTTAATGCTGGATAAACAAAGGCGTGCGTGCGTGCGTGTGTGTGTGCGTGTGTGTGCGTGTGTGTGCGTGCGTGTGTGTGTGTGTGCGTGTGTGTGCGTGTGTAGTAAGGAAACTTGCCTAAGGTTTTGCCCTGCCCAGGTCCTCTCACTTGCGAGGTGAGAGCCCACGCAAAGTCTACATGTACGTGCGCGTGTTCGTGTGTGTGTGTGTGTGTGCCTTCAGCCTCTCTGCCCCCACCCTCTGGAACTCCATCCCGCAGTCCCTCCCGCCTCGCCCCCTCCCGTGCCTCCTTCAAGACCTGGCTCAAGACCCCCCTCGTCGACAGTGCTCTCGATCGCCCTCCTACCTCCCCACCCATTGCCCTCCGCCCTCCCCGATCCGGACCCTTGGGACGTGCTCCCGACGTGAAAGTAAATGTATTTGTGTTGTTGTTGTTGTTGGTGGTGGTGGGTGCGCGCGTGTCAGGTCTTGAAACTTTCTGACTCGCCATTCCACTGCGCCCCCTCCAAGTGATTGACAGCTGCTCTGAATCAGGATGATTGGCATTCAGTTGTGTCGTGTGATCTTACCCCCCACCCAAAGCCTTGACCTAAATAGATCGCAGGCTCCATTCTCTCCGGTCTATGGAACCTTATCCCAGACAGAATGCATGCCTGTGTTCCTCTGACCACCGACCCCCCACCACCACCCCCAACCCCCCCCCCCCGCGGTACGCAGGCTGGATAAAGCATGATTCGCTCCACCACAGATTCTGCCGCATGATGTGCAGGGAATCTCTGGCACGTTGTTTCGCACCACAACCTCGGCAAACCTTCACTGTCAACCAACAGCCGTCAGAGTCCGGGCAGCGAAGGAGGTCAACTGGTTCTGGGCTGCGTTGGGCAAATGGGGGGGGTGGGGGGGCGTGAGTGGCAGAGGAGTGAGCGGGTTAGAGAGGTAAGGAAGTGCAAGGGAGTGGAGGCGTTTGTAAATGAGAGTGAGGACCTTGACCCAGGGAAGCCTGGCGAGGATTTAACAGGAAGCAGACAGGAACCGGAGTAAAGAGACGCAGGTGAAAAAGTGACCTAGGAATCTGGGAGCTTATTGAACAAGAAACTTGTACGGATAATGTTATAACAGTTGTCCTCTCTCCCCTCACACCCGGTCCTTGACCGGGACCGCCCGCCTTCTCCCACCTCCGCCACATTGCCCGTCTACCGATCGTACCTCACCCCAAACGCAGCCGAAACGCTCGTGCATTGCGTTCGTCACCTCCCGCCTGGATTACTCCAACGCTCTCCTCGTCGGTCTCCCCTCCCTGTCCAGTCCGACCTCCCTGTCACACTCCCCCCAATCCACCACCCGGTCAGCGCCTCCGCTCGACTGGCCCCGGCTCCTGCTCGTCCCTCGGCCCCTCCGCCCCACCGTCGGAGGTGGCGCTTTCAACCGCTACGCTCTCCCTCAATCCCTCCACCTGCCCCCCCCCCCACCACCTCTCCCCTCTTTCAAGTCCCGCCTAACGTTCTTGTTCTCTCGCTGGCTGGGAAGCAGTTGTAAAGGAAGATGTATTTATAACTCTGATGTGTTAACAGACAGGGTTTACAGCCAGCACCGATGTTACTCGGCTCAGACACACAGGGCTGTGCTCTGCAGTCTCCTTGGCTCCTCTCTCTCTCTCTCGTCTCGAGTTTCTCGTCCCTCTCGCTCCTGACGTCTGGCACAGAGATGGTTCCTGGGGTCAATCGATCCGGCAACGATGTTTGCAAACACTGGGGAGTCTAGGGTTTCCGGGGGAAAAAAACACCAGCGCCCAACTGCTCGGCTGTTTGTGGGACGCCGCTGTGCGCGACTGGCTGCCGCGTTTCGCTCATGCAATAAAAAATGCGCAGTGAAAACCGCTTTACAGTATATCCTGTGAAGAGGTTTGAGACGTCTCGAAGACGCTATACCCAGTCCGCTAGATAAACTGCAAACACGAGGACTGAGCCAGACTGATCGGCTGATGTTTCAGCCGCTACGCCCCGAAACTCCCGAACTCTCTCCCTCGATCCCTCCGCCTCGCCCCCTTCCTCCCCACTTTCAAATCCCACCTGAAGACCTTCCTTTTTTGATCGTCCTTAAGGTCACCTTCCCCCTTCCCTCCCTCTCTCTCTCTCCCCCCCTCCCTCCCTCCCTACCCCTCCTGGCTCGGGGTCAGACTCCGCCACTGTCAATCGCTCCGAGATGCTACCCCACGTGAGGGCCGCTGTGTAAATGGAAGTTGTTGTTGTTGTTGATCCTATGTTAGCAACACAGTAGAAGCGTGTTGACATGTTGACAGTGTGTGTGGGTGTGTCTGTGCGTATGTGTGTCTTAGTGTGTGAGTCTGTGTGTGTGTTTGTGTGGCTGAGTTTGTGTGTGTCTGTGTGTGTCTCTCTCTGTTTGTGTGTGTCTCTATGTGTGTGGGTGTCTCTCTGTGTGTGTACGTGTCTCTGTGTGTGTGTGTGTGTGTGTGTGTGTCTCTGTGTGTGTACGTGTCTCTGTGTGTGTGTGTCTCTATGTGTGTGTGTGTCTCTCTATGTATGTACGTTTCTGTGTGTGTGTCTGTGTCTCTATGTATGTACGTTTCTCTGTGTGTGTGTGTGTGTGTGTGTCTCTGTGTGTGTACGTGTCTCTGTGTGTGTGTGTCTCTATGTGTGTGTGTGTCTCTATGTATGTACGTTTCTCTCTGTGTGTGTGTGTGTGTCTCTATGTGTGTGTCACCTCTGTGTGTGTACCTGTCTCTGTGTGTGTGTCTCTATGTGTGTGTGTCTCTCTATGTATGTACGTTTCTGTGTGTGTGTGTGTTCTCTATGTGTGTGCTCTGTGTGTGTACCTGTCTCTGTGTGTGTGTTGTCTCTATGTGTGTGTCACCTCTGTGGTGTGTACCTGTCTCTGTGTGTGTGGTCTCTATGTGTGTGTCACCTCTGTGTGTGTACCTGTCTCTGTGTGTGTGTCTCTATGTGTGTGTGTCTCTCTATGTATGTACGTTTCTCTGTGTGTGTGTGTGTGTCTCTATGTGTGTGTCACCTCTGTGTGTGTATGTGTCTCTGTGTGTGTGTCTCTATGTGTGTGTGTCTCTCTATGTATGTACGTTTCTCTGTGTGTGTGTGTGTGTGTGTGTGTGTCTCTATGTGTGTGTCACCTCTGTGTGTGTACCTGTCTCTGTGTGTGTGTCTCTATGTGTGTGTGTCTCTCTATGTATGTACGTTTCTCTGTGTGTGTGTGTGTGTCTCTATGTGTGTGTCACCTCTGTGTGTGTATGTGTCTCTGTGTGTGTGTCTCTATGTGTGTGTGTCTCTCTATGTATGTACGTTTCTCTGTGTGTGTGTGTGTGTGTGTGTCTCTATGTGTGTGTCACCTCTGTGTGTGTACCTGTCTCTGTGTGTGTGTCTCTATGTGTGTGTGTCTCTCTATGTATGTACGTTTCTCTGTGTGTGTGTGTGTGTGTCTCTATGTGTGTGTCACCTCTGTGTGTGTATGTGTCTCTGTGTGTGTGTGTGTGTGTGTTGGAGATGCATCCAGTGCAAATCCAAATCGTAATTCAAACTCCAGAAGATTAATCGAATGAATAATGGCCGCACATTCTTTCATAGCCTGCGCTAATGTTCTATAAATACAAGGCAGACGGCAACCTCGGAGGGTGAGCCGTGAGTCAGGTTCATTGTACGAGCGCAAACGGACTGAATCGATGGCAACAAAATGAGGCCTCGGGCCATTGAGTACGTCCGCAGTCGCACCTACACAGGGCCGTGGGTTTCCTTAGTTACCAGCCCTGAAATTAACACTAAAAGGCGCTCGCTGCTTTTCTTTCAAGCCAGCGGGCTTCAAACACTCCGCTCCGAACCCTGGCACCTCCGTCCTTCTGACGAGAGGGTGGGGGGGGTGGGAGGGGGGGAACGCAACTCGCGTGGAATTAGCCAGTCTCTCACACACGCACGCACACGCGCACGCACACGCAAGCCGTTCAGCCCAGCTCATCTGTGCCGGTGTTTACATTCACATCTATTCCCTCTCTCTCTCTTCCACCCCTTTATTCCCCTCTCCCATACCCTTCTATCCCCCTCTCCCGCACCCCTCTACCCTCATCTCCCCCACCCCTCTGTCCCCCCCTCTCCGCGCCCCCCCATCCCACCCTCTCCATTCCCCTTTGCTGGTGAGCGCTCTAACCGACTTGCTACCGGGAGGTGCAGTGAAGTGTGCGGGGAGCGCGGTGGGTAGGGTGGGTGGGTGGGTGGGTGGGTAGAGAGGGGCGGGTGAGGCCGACTCACGAGGATGAAAAGACAGGTGATGCGGGCACAGGCACAGGCGGTGACCCAGCGCTGTGTAACGCTGCGCGGTTCAGTGATTCTTGGGCTGACTTGTGGCATTCCACAGTCGACATTGTTGTGGTGAGGCTCACTGGAGCCACAGCGCTCTGTGAGGGATTCCATCACCCGCCTATATTTAACCTCAAAGCCCCCAATCCCTCGCAGAGACAGATGCCGTCCGACTACTACACTGCCTTTGCCCTGTTTTTTTTTTAATGGGGCGTTTTTTTTTAACATGTATTTATTTACCCTGCGGTGAGGAGGGGAGGGGAGGGGAGGGGAGGGGGAGAGGGGGGGAAGGCAAGGGGACATTCCCGAAATCGCCATTCCTGCATAGTTGTGGAGCGTCGGTAGCATTGCCAGTGCCTCACTCACTACGAAACGCGAGTAGCAAAAGAAGTCTGACCTCCACGAGCCCGGAGATGGCGATGTGGCTTAGACTCGCTCTCTGCCTTGCCCCCTCCCTTCCCCATCTTCAGGGCAGGGCGAAACTTTAGGCAAGTTTCCTTACTCCGCACCCCTCTGTTTACCTAGTTGGGTACCCCGGAGACGGATGGCTTTTCCGGGGGTAATAATCCCCTTCAAAAATAATAATAATGATTTGTTTGTGAGGACGCTGCTGGGCGCAATTGGCCGTCCCGTTTCGCCCACCACTGTACAGCCAATCTACGTTTTTGCGATGCATTCTGAGAAGGGCTTTTGAGACGTCCGAGCCACGCGATAAGGCGCTGCGTCAAACGCGAGGATTAGCACAAAGACGGAAGCAGTTTGGAACAGGCGGCAGGTCAGGCAGCCTCTACGGAGAGAGGAAAACGAGTTAACGTTTCAGGTCGATAACAAGGTCAGAAGAAAGGATTATTATTATTATTATTATTATTGTTAGGACCACTTGGTTCACAAAACCAGACTCCCACTCTATCTCCTGCACAATGTCCCGCACGGAAACTTGCTGACAATTTACAGCAACTTATGGATAATTATCCTCACGAGTTGGGGACAGGGTGCGGTGGTGGGGTGAGGGTGGGGGGGGGGGGGGAGGGTGGTTGGGGAGGGGGTTGTTGGGGATCTGTACAGAGCTGAACTTCCTCCGAGTTCAGCGGGGTGTTGGAATCGAGTCAACCCTCTCTGGAGTCGGATGCCTAAACCAGGCGTGGAGACCATGATGGAGACTTCGAGGTCAAAGCCATTCGGTTCACCTTCCGCCATCGTGGGGGTCGTGTCCCAAGCGACACTCTGTACCCCAAGCTACCGTTTCCTAACGGAAACCTATCGAATTTGCTTCCACCGTCTCTCTCTCTCTCTCTCCGTGTCTATTATTATTGATAATAATAACGTCATTATTATTTGCACGCTTACTGTACAAATAATAATAATAATATAATTAACAATCCTTCCGTTCGACGCCGGGCCTTGTCGGGTCTTCGAGACGTCTTAAAGCGCTTCGCGGAATAGACCGCGAAGCGAAGTGGACCATACGTTTTTTCCGGGCGAAACGCGGCAGCCGTGGGCCGAGCGATAGGGTGTTTGCTATTGTGACGCTGTGGTTTGCTGTGTAACTTGTGGTGGGGTTTGTCGCTCTCCCTCAGGTGCTCAACCTCTTCTTGGCCTTGCTGCTGAGCTCCTTCAGCGCCGACAACCTGAGCTCGCCAGACGAGGACGGGGAGATGAACAACCTGCAGATCGCGCTCGCCAGGATCCAGCACGGATTCTCCGTGGCCAAGGGCGCGGCGGGCGAGCTCTTCCTGGGCATGTGCAAGCCCTCGGGCCGGGGACAGGGTGAGAAGGCCCTGGAGCTGCCCACCTGCCGGGTCATTAGCCACCCGGGCGACGGGAAGCCCGTCTCGGGCAACGGGAACGAGAACGGGAACGGGACGGCGGTGGGGCTGGGGCTGGAGGCCGCGGCGGCTCCCGGGCTGACGGTGTGCGTGCCCATCGCCGCTGTGGAGTCGTACTCGGAGTGTCGGGAGGACGAGGAGGAGCTGAGCACCTTCACCGAGAACGCAATCAGCGAGGAGGTGAGCAGGGGCCGGGTGGGAGGTGTGTGTGTGTGTGGTGGGTGGGGGGGACTGTCAGCGTGGGGTCGTGGGGGCGAACCCTCTCCTTACGCGCTCAGGCGTGAGAGCGACCCGTTCCTCAGTCCCCAAGGGACGTCAAGCCCGGCCCAGTGCAGCCGAGTGTGTAAGGAAATCATTGCTCTCAGCCGAGTGTGTAAGGAAAGGATTGGTTTCAGAGCCGAGTGTGTAAGGAAAGGGTTGGTCTCAGAGCCGAGTGTGTAAGGAAAGGGTTGGTCTCAGATCCGAGTGTGTAAGGAAAGGGTTGCCTTCTGGGCTGAGTGTGCAAGGAATGGGAGGGATTTACAGCGGTGTCCTGGAGTTTGGTGAACCCGTTCGGCTCAGGAGAATTTGGGGGATTCTCGGAGACAATTTATATTTATATTAATACCTAAGGCCTTTGGCGTTGGCAGGAAGTCTCACGTTTACTCGTGTCCTGGCGCTGGCGTGAGGGGACGATGTGATTTGCGACGCGAAGGGTCAGGAAGGGGAAAAAAAAAACCACCCGCCATCACCCTTTTGTTTCCGAAAAAAAAAATTAACCTCGCGTTTGCTACATCACATCCTCGACACGCCTCAAAGCGCTTCGAAGAATATGCTGCAAAGTGGAGTGACTGTGTGTTTTGTGGGGGGAGAGGCGGCAGCCGATCGCGCCCAGCGGCGTCCCCACAAACTGACTCCCATTCCTCCCCCACTCCTCCCTCACTCCTCCCCTCTCCTCTGCCCCCCTCCTCTGCCGCACTCCTCCCCCCTCCTCTCCCCCTCCTAAACTCCTCCTCGCCCACTCCTCCCCCCTCCTCTGCCCCCACTCCTCCCCCCTCCTCTCCCCCCACTCCTCCCCTCCTTCCCCCCCACTCCTCCCCTCCTCCCCCCCATCTCCCTCCTCTCCCCCCACTCCTCCCCTCCTCCCTCCCTCCTGGCTCCCATTCCTCCTCCGCTCCTCCATCACTCCCCCACCCTCCTCTTCCCCCCCCCCACCCCCAATCCTAACCCCCCATCCTCGCGGCCCCCTGCCCCCCCCTCCCCAAATGCTGGGATTAACATTTTTTCGACCGAGCGCTATCGGAAGCATTGACTGAGGGCCGTGTGAGCAGCAGGTGCTCCATTCCGGGGGTGACAGACGCCTTTGTGTGGGGTCACTTACCGCTGACTGAGAGCCGGAGCAGGTGAAGACGGCAAAGCAAAGAGACAGTGACAGGTCTCGGAGCCGTTACCGTCTATGGAAAAAACATTTGTTCTCGTTTTTTTCTTGCTGTTTTTTTTTTTGGGGGGGGAGGAGTGGGGGGGGCGGTGGGGCGTGGTGGGGGGGTGAGGGGTAGGCTTCATCTCACTCTGTTGCCCTGCAGTGATTTCTCCAGCCAATGCACTATACTTAGCGCAAAGGTTCATGCTCTTTTTTTTTTGGGGGGGGGCGGTGTTGTCGATTTGTTATTGCTGCAACACGAGGTCAAGCACGTAAGGCTGGCCTCTGCTGGGCTGGTCCGCGCTGCACTACACTGTGCTGGACTGTGCAGTGCTGGGCTGGGCTGTGTTGGGCTGAGCTGGGCTGTGTTGGGCTGAGCTGGGCTGAGCTGGACTGTGTTGGGCTGAGCTGGGCTGAGCTGGGCTGTGGTGGGCTGTGCTGGGCTGTGTTGGGCTGAGCTGGGCTGTGTTGGGCTGAGTTGGGCTGTGTTAGGCTGTACTGGACTGTGTTGGGCTGTGTTGGGCTGTGCTGGGCTGTGGTGGGCTGTGGTGGGCTGTGCTGGGCTGTGGTGGGCTGTGCTGGGCTATGGTGGGCTGTGCTGGGCTGTGTTGGGCTGAGCTGGGCTGAGCTGGGCTGTGGTGGGCTGTGCTGGGCTGTGTTGGGCTGAGCTGGGCTGTGTTAGGCTGTACTGGACTGTGTTGGGCTGTGTTGGGCTGTGCTGGGCTGTGGTGGGCTGTGGTGGGCTGTGCTGGGCTGTGGTGGGCTGTGCTGGGCTGTGCTGGGCTGTGGTGGGCTGTGCTGGGCTGTGGTGGGCTGTGCTGGGCTGTGGTGGGCTGTGCTGGGCTGGACAGGGGGAGGAGGGGTATAAAGTCCATTTATATGCAGCTTTCACATCGATCATGAGGACGTGCCAAGGCACTGAACGGTCAAGGATTTCCACCCGAGTTGGGAGTTGGGATCAGGAGGGGGCAGAGGGGAGGGACGGTGGGGGTAGGAGGGTGACCGGAGGCACGATCGAAGAGGAGGGTCTTCAGACGGGCCTTGAAATAGGCAAGTGAGGGTGGGTGGGTGGGTGGGGGAAGGGGTGGGGGGGGGGTTAGGGTTAGGGAGAGGGGGGAGGTGAAGGGACTGTGGAATGGAGTTCCAAAGGATGGGTGGAGGGGAGTGGGGAGTGGGGAGTGGGAGGGGGGGGGGGACGGAGAGGTTGAAATGCACGGGGGTGGTGGGGGGGGGGGGAATATGGAGCAGGCCGGAGCCGAGAGCGGGGAGGGGAGAGACCGTGAAAGGCTTTAAAGGTGAGGACAAGTATGAGGCTGAGCTGAGGCATTTGTGCCCACGTGAGCGGATGCTGACTGCCATGTGTCAGTTCCCTGAGGAGCCGAATAGCTTCCTGGAATGTGTTGGGTCACACTGTCTCTCTTTGCACCGTTGTCCTTCAATTTACAGCTGCTCCGGGCAGTTTTCTCGAAACGTCAAGCCTCGGTCACGCCAGAGGTATCGAGCCCTGGCTCCGGTTTCTTGTTCGTAATCACAACGGTAATAGTTTTAAAAATAATAATAATGGTAATTCTTCTTGCGTTTGACATCGAGGGATTACGGAGCAAATCGAATCGAGGTACAGATCGGCCAGTCTGCCTGGTTCCCGGTCGATGTTAATAATCATATTATAATACTTGCATTTGATAGAGCGCCTTATTGCGTTGCTTCGCCCACAAAATACACAGTCACTTCCCATCACAGCGTATCCTGTGAAGCGCTTTGAGACGTCTCGAAGCCGTGACCAGGCCCTGCATCAAACGCAGGGATTATTATTATGTTGTAATTATTTTATGAGACGTCTCGAAAGTGCTCCACCTCGAAGAAAATGTACCGTGTGTTTATTAACGTGTCATTAATAATATCCGTTGGCTGTTAGTAATAATAATCCTTCCGTCTGGTTCAGCGCCCTCCTTCCCGTCAGGAGGACGTCCCGGAGGGCTTCACGGGATTTTACCGTAAAGTGCAGTGCGCACCTTGTAAGTGGATAAACGTTTGTTAGGTCAGGGGATCAAGGGATCCCGGGGCAAAGGCACGTAACCGGTGTTGAAGTACAGACAGCCACGATCTTATAGAATGGCGGAACATGCTCGAGGGGGCTGAATGGCCTCCTCCTGTTCCTATGTACCCCCTATGTACAACAAGTTGTTGTTGTAAGCAAATGGAACACAGCCCAACAGGTACGGGGCGGGGGAGAGACCATGCGGCTTGTTCCACCACTTTATTGGGTCCTGGCAGCCAATTTGCTCGCCTGCATCTGGGGGCCAAGAGCAGTCGTGAGAAGGCCCTTTTGTTTATGTTTGTGTATTCCTGTCCGCACGGGGGGAGCAGGTGGCATGGCTGGAAATGGAACATTCGTGTATCGCAAGTTATAATAATAGCAATCAACGATCAGGGACCCTTTCGCACTTGATGCAGCGTTGCAATGGGAAGCGCAGTGACCGCGCATTTCGCGGGCGAACGCGGCAGGCAATTCGCACGCAGCGACGTCCCGCAAACGGCCCACAAAGTGAGCGACCGATTTGGTTTGGAGAAACTCCCTTCCCCTTTTCAAAATAGCGCCGCGAGATCCAAAATATCCACCCAAGAACAGGCACAGACCAGCGAGCCGGGTTCCAGTGTGTATTTGTGCACGATGTATGTGGTATAAGGTGCGTGTGTGTGTGTGTGTATGTGTGACTGTTGAGATGTCTCAACGACGTGATAAGGCCCTATATCAAATGCAAGGATTATTATTATTATTATTATTATCATGCATATGTGTGTATGTGGTGAGGGAAGTGCGCATCTGTAACCCGGGGCTTCAGTTATTCTTAGAATCGTAGCAACTTCAGTTCATAAGGAGGACGTTTGGCACCTCGAGCCTAGATTGGTGCTTGATGCCCCACTGGAGCTCTCGGCACTCATCCGCACAGCCCCTGCTCTTTCCCTCCCTCACACTTTCCCGCTGAGAGTTCACTTAATTCCCTTTGAAATGAGCTAATTGACCCAAAATTCAGTCGCCACTTGCGCTAATGCATTTCACATCACAATCGCCCTTTGTGATGTCTCGAAAAAAAAAAATCTGTCGCCTTCCCCTTTCGAGGCTCTAAATTTGGCAATTTAGCACGCAGTCAGCATAATCTGTCACGCTTTCTCCTTAAAACCTGGCATCATTTTGAAGAGGTCTCTTATTAGATTCCCTCTTAACATTCTCCACTCAAATGAGTGCAGCCACAGCTTTCTGATCACGTCAATTTAAGGTTTCCAATGAGTTTATAAATAGGAAGGGAGTAAGTAGGAGGTCGATTGTTAGTCGATTGGCGAATGGCTTTAACGGGAGTAATAATTCCTATCCAATATGAATAAAAGCAATCTATTCTGCGCTGTACAATTCTGTGAATTTGGCCACTCAATCCTCGACTGTCTGCGGGGACGCAAAATGCACCGTCGCTACACTTCACGGTGTAGTCTGCGAAGCGCTTTGGTAAGTCTCGAAGACCTGATAAGGCGCTGTATCAAATGCGAGGATTATTATTATTGTTATTTATTATAATGAAGGGTGACGCACTGTGTTCCTGTTGGGCCTGAACGCGCACAATTAAGATATCACTGGAAAGGTGTTTTGCCCCTATTGCTTGTGATGATTTGGTACTGATATAACATCCCCGTTCGGGAATTCTGCTCGTATGCCAGTATTTTGTCCGTGAGGTCCCAAGCCATAAACAAGATTCCATAAGGATTACTGTCTGAGTGTTGAATTTGA